TTTAAATTCTTTCACCATTAGAAAGGTAATTTATCTGTGAGTAACATAGGCTATATTTTTTTTTCACGCCGACGTAGTCGCGGGCAAGAGCTAGGTTTATAATTCTATGGACGAATACATGTGACCTTTCTCCTGTAATTAAGTTATAGGAATAATTGCCAAATTCATGCATTATTTAAATGTAACTAAGGTTGTTCCTTAGTGTACATTTAGTAACAGAAAGGCTACTAATGAAGTCATTATTGGATCTTAAACAGGAAATTATTAGTTAATTAGAAAGTAACTTTAAATTTTCTTGTCAAATAAAACAATAGTTTAAGCAAATGAAATTTAATATGAAACCAGAAATCTTTTAATAAATAAAACAATCTTACAACAATTACAGTATCAAACTCATTTATAAAGTTCGTAGTAATGTAATTCCTTTTCATGTGCGTTTAAAGTATCAAAATCAACAAATCCATGTCTACACCATCGACATACACGTCCAAAATTACCCGTATGCACTTTCATATGTGCTCTAAGATTACTCGATCTACCAAAACGTCTTTCACATATATTACATATGTAATTCTTTTCACCGAAATGTTTACGCTTGTGTAATTTTATCATCCAACGTATACCGGTTGTGTAATCACACAAATCGCATTGATATTTAACAGATGGGTGTAAAGATTGTACATGGAGTAACATAGCTCCTTTTGTATTACACACTTTCTCACAATATTCACATTTAATACAATATTTCTCAACATTATGTACTTTACCCATATGCACTTTCATTTTATATAACGTATCAAATTCTGTGCTACATAAATTACACTCGTGGGTACGAACTTTACCGTGTATACGCTGTTTATGTTTCTCCATTTTGTGTAATGCATCGAAATATTTACCACAAACCTTACATTTATAACCACTATGACAGTTATATATGTGTTTGTTCAACCTAACTTGATCTATGAAACTTAAACCACATATCTGACAGATAAAATTATGTTCAACATGATTTTTAAACATATGAGAAAGGATAGAACTAAAATTATCATACTCCAAACAACAATAAACACATTTCATAGTCCCTTTGTTAAGAATGAATGGGAAAAAGCAACTAATTGTTCCGTCATATGTTTTATTATGTTCTGAAATAATATGAGATATTAAATCCTGTAATGTATCTACAGGTTTAGAACAAAATTTACAACATAGACTAGTTACGTCTACTTTAACCGGAACATCTTTAGTTATAATCCGTTTAGGTATGAAAGTGTCTAGATTTATTGTATGAGAATTTGTATGTTCTTTTAAAACATCAATATCTTTCATATATTTATTGCAGTAGAAGCATTTGAATCCTTTTGTATTCCAATGAAAGGGCACCATGTTACCAAAGCTGAGTAGTAGGATAATATTCTTTCTGACGTTTTGCAATCTGTCTAGATATGTCTCTTGAACTTCGCATCCGATCTTTATCCCTGGAAAGAGATATCGATCGTTTACGCTGATTTAATAATTTTCTACTACACATGTATACTAATATTATAAAGAGGAAAGATTTCAATTTTTGAATGTATTAATTTAACTTAAAAAAACGAATGGGCCGATTTCAAAAATTCAAGCTACGTTATCGGCGAGTAACATGGGCTAGTTTTAAATTTCATGTGGACGATGTCGCGAGTAAGAGGTAAATGGAAAAAAAGTGAACTGCATGCTATTATGTCGTATATTAAAAAGGAAACAAGCTTAAAAGTGTAATAACATAACAATATCGTTACATAATTTTTCCTAACATTGATGGATGTTTACTCGTATTACATTTGTATTAAATATTGATTTATTATTATTTATATTCAAACAACTACTAATTTCACTGTATATCATCATCATCCACTTGCCTTTATCCCTTACGGAGGGTCGGCACAGTATGTGCTGCTCTTCCACACATCTCTATCAGCCGTCATATCTGAATCCACTCCTTAAGCATATCCTCTTTCACACAATCCATCCATACTTCGGTCTTCTACCTTTGTAGCCATCAACATTCAACCTTAACAAATTTCATTGTATATATTTCCCAGTTAATTCTGCGCCTTCAATTTCGTCGTTCACAAACTCCATTTGTATCATTTCAGTCTCATTTAATTCATCGAAAACAACAATATTTTGTTCAGATTCACTTTGATTTACAACTAAATGTCGTTTATTGTGTATTTTTAAATTCTGCTGATTTGTAAATTCCTTATTACAAATATCGCATATAAACTTTTTATCTGTATGCGTTATTAAATGTGTATTTAAGTTATTTTTCTTTGAGAATTTCTTCCCGCAAACTGCACACACAAACTTCTTATCACCATTATGTTTTAACATATGTAACTTAACGTCGTAAGGTCCAAAGAACTTGTCACCACAGACTTCACATTCGACGTTTTTCTCTCTTAAATGCACCCTTCTCATATGTCGGGACATTATACTCTCTTGGGGATAAACTTTAGGACAATACGGACATTTTATTTTCAACTCCTCAATACCATGCACATTAGCTAAATGTAACTTTTTAAAATATGGACTTTTAAATGTCTCTGGACAATGAGGACAGGTTGATAGATTGACCATATGTACATTCTTCTCGTGTAAAATCTTCTTTGACAGTGTCGTAAGAATTATCCCACAATGTTCACAAGTATACCCACCTTCTCTATGATAATATCGATTGTGCATTTTCAAATGATTTTCCCCTTGAAAGCTAGTACCACAAACATCACATATATAATCATGGGATAGATGATGTTTATTCGAATGACGTAATAAATACTCAAAGAATACAAATTTCATATCACAGATAGGACAAGTTGGTTGATCTTTGTCTAATTTGAATGGTAAAAGACAATTAGGTACACTTACATCGTACTCCGCATCATGTGCGATTATTAGATGATGTATTAATTGTTCTAGATTATTAAATTGTTTGAAACACAATTTACAAGATATATCTGTGACATCTATTTTAACAGCTGCATCTCTGTTTCTGTTATTCTTTGTCCTATCGAACACAACGAGTTCTAAATTTGCAAACTGGTGGACTTTAGCTGTATGGTCCCTTAGCAAATCTGGGTCTTTCATCGGTTCTGCACAATAAAAACATCTATATTTCCCTTTATACCACATAAACGGTGTAACATTACTATACTGAAGGACGTATTCAACATTACGTCGTTTTATACACAGCTTACGTGCGATTTCCGTTTTCTTATACGAGTCCTCGACGGTGCTACTTTTTGCACCTGCAAAGAAATTCATTCTTTACTAGCTTTAGTTTTATTCCTTCTTTGTTAATCCATTGATGTAAAACCATTCTTCAGTCTATATCTATACTAATATTATAAAGAGGAAAGATTTGTATTTTTGTATGTATTGAAAAAACTACAGGGTCGATTTCAAAAATTCCTTCACCATTAGAAAGAAAATTTATCTGTGAGTAACATAGGCAATATTTTATTATTACTAATGTTGAGGAACTATTAATAAACAACATTTCTGGATCACGGCGTTAAAAAATTACAACGTTTTAACTTTTCTCGGCTTACGCTGCCTAAACCGTTAGATATATATAAAAATGATGTATGAAAGAATTGTATATCTCATAAAATTTTATAGAAAAGTCCGCGATAGCATATATCTATCTTGTACATAACAGCTGGTATTAGATATATTGGGGTTTTGTTTAATTTTATGCATAGAACATTAAACAACTTATATTGAAGCCACGTGTCAATATAATGCTTTTGTCGACTAATCCAATGTAGTCAGGTACATGTGTAAAAGGGTCAGATACATTTTTATAATATAAGGTGGCAAACGAGCAAGCGGCCACCTGAATCCACCGAAATGAAAAGCGACCGCTGCACATAAACATCCGCAATGGCAGAAGCGTTGCTCTTCATTGACGGAGGAGACGTACATAAAGAGGGCATTTCCCCTTACTATGCATCTCCACCGTCTAATCCACTTTCCCTTCCCATCCTTACCTCTTAAGAAAAGGGTGGAAAGGGAAAGGAACTAAAATTAGGCTTCCGGCACCACACTCATCAGACTGTACGCAGAATTGCTTCCACTTCACGCCTGTTTTCTGTGTGGTCGTGGTATTGCTGGGCCGACCCATTCGTGCGAAGATGTTAAAGCGGGCACTACCACTGTTAATGTACCTTTTGCATAGTAAAGATCTATTTGTAATTTTTCGAAATTTTTGCATGTATTACAAAATATTTTTGATTGTATTGGTTATTTCATGTTAAATAAGACAAATTTAATTTCATAGATTTTATTAAAATTTTTTCTTACATAAACTAATTAGGAAATTCCATAGTTATATCCTTTTAAACTTTATTAAAATACAATCTTATAAATAAAATAGTGGGATTGTTGGATACATTTCTATTACAGCTTAAGAAAAAAAAATAGACATTTCATAATTATCGATTTTAATATAAAAATATAACATTTTTAACGAGATTACTTAGTTTTTTCGATTATAAACCTTAAGTAAATTATAAAGATTTTCACATAAGAGTAGACAGAAACATTTTTATAGAAAAACACTACAAGAGTAGGAATATAATCAATTTTTAAACCAACCGACTTAAAATTTAAGTTTACAATATTACTAGCATATTGTAAACTAAAAGAATCCATACTAATATACTTATTCAGTTTATAAACTAACGAATATTGCGCTAGCAGACAAAAAATTGGACAATAGAATGTGTTTTATTGATTTTTTTTATTTAAAATCTAAGAGCCTTTATTTTATTAAAAAACACTATTTCTATACAAGCCTATCTTTAATTAGAATTAATTACAGCATTTAGGCAAAAAGACTTCATTTCGATGAATAAAAAACTTTACGAATATTTGGGTCTACCCCACCATTGGCTGATAGAGATTCAGGTAGCTTAAAAATGACGTCACTGTCAGATAAGGGAACAAAACCCGATATTCCCATCACATATTTTACAGGTTGGATTGTTATCAGACATTTACAATTTGGTGGAATCGGCCCTTAATAAATTACATGAAAAAAGAGCGTCGGTAGCTCAGTCGTTTAAGCACTTGACTTGTAATTTACAGTTTTTGGGTTCGTATCCCGCCGTACCAATGAGATTTTTGATTTTTCGAATTTTCAAATGTACATAATATACCTAATGTTCTTACGGTGAAGGAAAACATCGAAAGGAAACCTGAACATATCTGGGAAGAAATTCAAAGATATGTGTGAAGTCAACCAACCCGCACTTCATCCTAACTAGTGCAGGCTCCGAGCCCCTCGCTCGGGACTTATAGTGCGCTAGTAATGATGATGACATGAGAAGAACGAGCAATAAAAAAATCCAACCACATTTTTCAAACGCGATAAAATTTAAGTCTGTAAATGACCGTATTTCTTATGCATTTCTTTATGCGAGCTCAAATTACTTCTACGTAAAAACGCTTTACCACAAACTTCACAACTAAACTTCCTCTCACCTTCATGTTTCACCATATGCATCCGTAATAGGTAATTATCAAAAAACCTTTCATTACAAACGGAACATACGACATTTTTCTCTTTTAAATGCGTCCTACGTATATGGTCGTTCATGAAAGAATTTCTTGTAAACATTTTACCACAATAACTGCATTTATGACCAATATCATGGTTTTGTATCAAATGTTTCTGTTTATGATACTGTGATTGAAATAATTCAGGACATTTAGGGCATTTGTAATCTTTCGCGTTATGATTTTTCGCTTTATGTCGATTTAAACACCATTGGTTTCTAAATTTCGTTCCGCAAATATTACATTCGCAAGTTCCCGTGTGTGCGTAAGTTATATGTACTTTTAAATTAGTAACACTTTTAAAACTACGACCACAAAAGTCACATATTCTATTATTATTACTGTGTTCAGAATTTATATGCCTTAAAAGTATTCCGAAATATCTGAAGACAAGATTAGGACATATAGGGCATGGCATATTATCTTTTATGATTTTATACGGTTCCAAACACCCTGTAATTGATTTATCATAGTCTACATCGTGTTTGATAATTAAATGATCAATTAAAATATCAAGATTATCGATTTGTTCGCCGCAAATTTTACAACTTAAATTCGCAACATCTATCTTGACAGTTATTCTCTCACCCTTACATTTCTTCATACTTTTAGATTCCAAATCGCATACAGGATGTTCCAAAAGCGTATGTTCTTTAAGTTCGGCGAATTCGACAAACTTGTTCGAACAATAAAAGCAACAATATTTGGCGAAAAATTTAAACGGTAACGCCGTAGACATGTTTAAAACGCATTGGATATTCTGCCTTATTTGTTTTAGGTTTTGTTTCTTTTTTGGTTGTAACATTTCCGTAAAATTGTCATCTACAGGTTGATCTATTTTTATAAAGTTGACTTTACATTTATGTATATGTTGTTTTAAGCCTTGTGGAGAGTGTAATTGTTTGGAACAGTAGGGACATTTTGCTGTCCCGTCATCCGGGTGTTCGGTTTGTACATGTTTTAACAACATACTGTATGTGGCGAAGTGTGTACCGCATCGTTTACATTTCCTAAAGTGGAAATCATTTTGATGTTTACGTAGTAAACTGTGGGATATGAAATTCTGTGAGCATTCGATGCAAGGGTAACCTCCTTGTCGGTGGTTATTCCGAAAATGTAGTGCCAAATCTCTCTTTTTATTAAAGGTGGCTCCACAATCATCGCATATATAATTATTACGCGGATGTATACTATTGACATGGTTGATTAGAAAACCAAAGTATTTAAACTGTAAATCGCAATAAAGACATTGAAAATCTAACAGCCTGTATTCCTGAAGTTGAGTATCGATTGATTTATCGTAATCTAAACTGTGTTTTTCTATTAAATGGGCGACTATTTCTTTGTAATTTTTAAACGTATCATTGCATATTTCACACGTTACATCCGAGACGTCAATTTTTATTTCTACATGACTTCCTTTAATTAGTTTCAAAGAATAATCTTTAGTTGTACACGGACCGTGCGATCGGGTATGTTTTCTAAAATCTTTATAATCCGCGTAACTTTTCCCGCAATAAAAGCATAGACATTTCCCCCGCCATTTGAATGGTAAAACGGTCGTATTGTTGAATAAGATTTGTAAATTCCGCCGTCGCCTCTCAGAGACACAGTTTTCGTAGGCATGCGGTATTTCATCTGAAAAGAAATTATTCTTTCTATATTTGTACCATACTTGCCGCCCATTGGTGGATATTCGACTATAATCTAGAAATAGTTGCACGCAGTTTTCTCCATATAAACTTTAAATGTGTCAAACACAAACTGTGTCCATTGTAATTTCCTTGAAAATAGGTACAAAATTTTCGCAATATAACCCTATAAAGGCTTTTCAACATCTTCCACCTTATCCTACTCCCGTAGTGGCGCAAAAGGTTTTTGTCCTCCACAAAACTCTATCATACGTCATCTCAGTCACTACCTACTTGTCCATATCTTTCTATGTCTACCTCTACCGGTGTACACTCATAACTAACGTCCTTCTTGTTACATACGATTCATCCCTCCCTATTAAAACGCTCTTGTCACATTTATTGTTTTTTTATATGCGACATCATATGTACTCGTAGATTTTTCTTCCACATAAATTTTTTATCACAAAAATCGCAATGAAAATTACGTTCACCGTAATGTTTAACCATATGTATATTAAGTTGGTATTTATCGAAGAATTTCTCAAAACAAATGAGACATTCATAGTTTTTCTCTTTCAAATGAGTACGTTTTATATGTTTAATCATAAATGCAGTATTTATGAACAATTTCTTACAATATTTGCATTCGTACCCAGCCTTATGTGCTTGTATTAAATGTCTCTGCATATTGTATTGTGACGTAAATTTCTCCATACATTGCGAGCATTTAACGACTTTTAGACCATGTTCTTTACCTAAATGTACTTTCAAATAAGTATTACTTGTAAATTTCTTAACACAATAAGTACATTTAAAAGTAGCTGGTTTATGTTTCCTTACTATATGTGTTCGTAAATTAAGTTTATATCTAAAACATAGACCGCAGTAGGAACATGTAAAATTATTTTCAGTATGTGACATACTTATGTGTTTCAATAACATACTAAAATGTCTATATTCTATTTCACAAAGGGGACAAGGGTATCTATCTTGACTTATTTTAAAATGTTGTAAAACATCCGTTATGTTTTTACTCAATGTAATTTTATGTTCTATATCAAAATGATTTATTAAATGTACCAAATCTGTTAAATTTTCATTACAAATTTTACAAGATAAAGAATTGACATCTATTTTTATACTACCCTCAGTAAGTTTGAGTTTCAACGTCTTAATATCGCATACAGTATGTTCTGAAATCGTATGTTCTTTAAGTAAATTAGGATTTTTAAAATCTTTCGAACAATAAAAACATCTAAATTTGGTTATATAATATTTAAACGGAATCGCAGTTGAATTGTTTAGTATAAAAACTATATCTTTCTTAATTTGTTTGAGATTTGTTTTTTTATTAGCTACTATTTTGTCGGCATTTTCTGTTTTAGTACAATTATTTGCGTGTTGTAAAAGTTTTTGTTTAGTTGTCATAAATTTATGACATATGCGACATTTTAAGTCAGATTCATGTTCTACCCTCATGTGGGCCAACCGTTCTTTCCCAGATGGAAAATGTTTAAAGCAAATGTTACATTCCGATTCATGGTCATTTAACTTGTGCGTATTTAATTCAACTTGCGTTTTGAAGGTAGTTTGACATTTATTACATGTATACGATTGTCTATGGTGTGTTCTTTTATGTGTTGCTAAATCGCGTTTTTTATTAAATTTACGGTCACAATCTGTGCATACGAAACATTTATTTGGGTGTTCTTTATTCACATGTATTATTAAATTTCCAAAGGAATTGAATTTTTCTTCACATTGCAGACATTTTAAATCGATTAAACGGTATGTAGTGATTTCTAAAACATCCTTATCGTAGGGTAGTTCATGTTTTGACATTATATGAGTGATTAAATTATCAAAACTGTTTAATTCATTGTTACAAATATTACATTTTATTACGGAAACGTCTATTTTAACTTCGCTATCAGTAGATTTTACGAGTTTTATAGCACGATCGTTCTCTGAACATTTCCCGTGACTAACAGTATGCTGCCTGAGAATTGTAAAATCCGGCAAATTTTCACCGCAATAAAAACATAGATATTTCCCACGCCACTTAAATGGTATTAATGTTGTATTATTGAATAATATTTGAAGATTTCTTCGTCTCACACAACTTTTGCTCGGTATCTTCGTTTTAGTATCTGCAAAGAAATTTTTCCAAATTTTTTAATGTACCCTCAAAATCTACGTTGAATTTTGGATTATTTAGAACTCTTATTTGCAGGACGAAAAAATCATCAAATATATTTAATTGTTAAAAATTAACTATTCTTGAGTTAAAGTTTTAGTTCTTAGAAATAATAATACTGATGTTTATTTGGTATTTCTTCAATTATATTTGTATTTGAGAGGTTTTGTTATGTCTTATCATGTGATTACGCAAACTTTTCCTCCAATAAAAACGTTCCCCACATACATCACAATTAAAATTCTTTTCCCCACTATGTTTCACCATATGCCGTCTTAATAGTATATTATTAAAAAACTTCATAGTACAGATCGAACATTCGACATTTTTCTCTTTCAAATGAGTCCGTCTCACATGATCTCTCATAAAAGAGTTTCTTGTAAATAGTTTACTGCAATAATTACATTTATGTCCGGAATTATGCACCTCAATTAAGTGCTTCTGTCTTAAATATTGTGTCTCAAAACATTCCGGACACTTAGGACACTTGGCCGCTTTAACACCGTGGTCTTTAGCCATATGTAAGTACAAACGTGAGGGTATATTGCAATCTGCGCCACAAATGTCACATTTAAATCTACCGTCTCTATGATGACGCCATATATGAACTCGTAAATTTTGATCGCGTCTAAAAGTTTCGCCGCAATATACACATATTATATTATTATTGGTATGTTTTTTATTCATGTGTTTTAAAAGAGTTCCAAAGAATCTGAACACTTCATTCGGACAAATAGGACATGCCATACTATCTTTTATTAACTTATACGGTTGTAAGCAGGTAGTTATAGATTTATCGTAATTCGCATTGTGGGTAGTTGTTAAATGCTCTATTAGGCTGTCTAATTCACTTATAGGTATAAAACAAAGTTTACATGCAAGTGTAGAAATGTCTATTTTAACGCAAGCTACAGATTCCCTACATTTTTTAATACATTTCTGTTTCACATCACATACAGGATGCTCTAATATCGTATGATCCCGCATTGCATCGGAATCGGGGAAATCTTTCGAACAATAAAAGCAATTAAATTTATTCTTAAAGAAATTAAAAGGTACAGCTGTTGACATATTTATAATAGTGACTATATTTTCTCTGATTTGTTTGACACTCGGTCTTTTTGGATCTTCATAACTGTCATCCAAATCCATCGAATCATTTTCTATTTTGACATCTTTGCCAAAAAATTCTTCAACTACCTTACATTTTCTTGTATGCATTTTTAGACCTTGTTTAGTATGAAATTCTTTTGAACAGTTATCACATTGTAACGACCCACTATCAGGGTGTTCTATTTTCATATGCTTCTGTTTCAATGAAGCGGTGGGTAGTTTTAAATTGCAAATATCACAATTCGTTAAATGTCTATTACTTTTATGTTTTCTCAATATATTCAATGAAGTGAAACATTTCGAACAATATTCACATTTATAACCACCTTCTTTATGATAATTTTTGATATGAGAAAACAAGTCTCTTTTCTTATTGAATTTTTGATCACAATTATCGCATATTAGACAATTCTTCGGATGTTTATTATTAACGTGGGAGACCAAATAACCAAAATACGTGAACTTTTCATCGCATAACATACATTTTAAATTAGCCAGATTATATTCTTCGATAGCCATTTCTACTTCAAAATCATAACTGAGTTTATGTTTTTTTAAATGGTTTATAATTTCATTGACTGTTTGGTGAGGTTCATTACAAATTAGGCAAGTAATATTTGATACGTCTATCTTGATCTCCATATTTTGACCTTTCAAAACCTTTAAAGAATGATCAACTATAGAACAATCACCATGTGAGTTTGTATGAGTTCTTAGATCACTATAATCTGTCATGTATTTACTACAATAGAAACAGAGATATTTCCCACGCCACTTAAACGGTATTACTGTAGTATTGTTAAAAAGTAATTGAAGATTCTTTCGTCTACGTAAAGATGTTGATTCACTGCCTTTATATTTCCTTGTTACACCTGAAATAGAAATAACTGTAAATGTACCCGATGTTTTAATCATTTAGAAAATAAAAAACCATAGAATAAAATAATTTAGTTTCTGGGTACATTTAAAGTTACCACTAAATATTCCTAAGTTTTTTTACAAGATACATTTTCACACCATACAAAAACAAAATTATAAAAGAAAGGTGGTTGACGTTAGTTAAAAATAAAGACTGACTATCCTCAGAGAGATTAACGTTTGCTTAACACACGTCAGACCCTAAGTGAGCGTTTCAAAAAAACTCAATATTTTTTTTGTTGGAATGTGTTTAAAACTACATAATATATCATATATTGTTTTTCACCCCCATTTTTCCTTGGATTTTTATGCGTGTGACATTTAGATACTCGTGGCTTGGGAAATAGTTCTGAAATTCATACCTCCCAGGCCACATACACAGTGTTCTATTCACTGTGTGGCAAAAAGATACACATGTCACCTAAGGTGTTAAGAGATGTTTATGATAGATTTCATTCAGATATGAAATACGTTAAAAGGTTACATGATAGAAACTTTATGGACATTTATAGTGTTTCCCGTTGGGCCGATCGCTGAACCGTCAGGTAAAAAATCTCAACGAGCTAATTGAATTCAAAGAATCAATACGTTAAATGGTTAATTCCATGTTTCGTGTGTGAAAACTATTTGATAGCTTTAGTAACCATTTAATGACAATGAAGTAGTCAAACTACACTAAGGACACACTTAACAGACTGTTAATATCTCTGTATACTGTAAATTAAGTATTAACTTCTGGATGGTGTACTCTTAAATGCAATCTTAAACTATTATTTTGAACAAACGCTTGACTACAAAACGCACAAACAAATCTTCTATCATTATTATGAATTCTCATATGATCTCGTAAAGTCTGTTTTCTAGCATAGGATTTTTTACATGTTTCACACTGGTGTATTCTTTCACCTATATGTTTTATCATATGTTTTTGTACATGACTTTTAGAAAAGAACTTCTGTTCGCACATAGTACATGAAAAATTCTTCTCTCTAAGATGAACCTCTTTTATATGTACTTGCATTTTACTTTTAATATGAAACGATTTATTACATATCGGACAATTATTAATAGACATGTCTTTATTATGTACTTCATTATGATGTTTTTTCCTTGTTGTATAATTTTGAAAAGTGTCCGCACAATACATACATTTGATTAATTTTCTACGATCATGAACTTTGAATTCGTGGGTAATCTTTTGTGTTAACGAATCGAAAATTTCCGTACAAAATTTGCAACGAAATCCTAAACCGTGACAAATAGAATGACATCGTAAACGATCTTGACTTAAAAATGATTTACCACACGACTCACATACATAATTTTCGTAATGTACATTCATATGCTGGTTTAATTTGATAAAATATTGAAAATCAGTCGTACATAACGCGCATTGGAATCGATCATTATGTAATTTGTAGGGTATAACACCATAATCGGAGTTCGCGAAATTCTTTTTGTGGGTAGTTTTAAGATGTTCTATCAAAGTATTCAAATCTACAAAATTTAAATCACATAAATTGCAAATAATTGTTGATACATCAATTTTAACTTTTTCATCCCTTCTTAAATATGAAACAGCTGATTTTATTCTTGGTTCTTTGTGTTCATTAGTATGTTTCTTTAGTAGGGTAGTGTCTTTAAAATTTTGATGACAATAGAAACATAGGTAATTCTGTCTATGCCATTTGAAAGGCATTACTGTGGAAGATTCTAGAATTATTATCGCGTTCTTCTTCATAAGGCGATGTCGTTTTGTTGACGTCATTGAGGACTTACTCACGGCCTCAATTTCTTCATTCTCACCTAAAACGGTAAATCACAGTTGTCACTTCTAGTTTTTCTTTTATCTGTGGTCGACATTAACATTTAAATATTATCTTCTTTTTTCCTTCGATTTAATTTCTTTTAGAACCTTGTCAAGAAATAACTTGACAACAAATTCATAGAATGAAACATACTGTATTTGCTTTTTTTGTAGATGCAAATTATTTAGTAAAATAAACAAGATATCCCGTAAAAACCGATTTAATTTATTCTATTATCTTGTTTAGCCTATATTATGTACCAAAAACCTATGAAGCCTAGACTTGCTATTCCATAATGATATTTATCCTTTTTTTTTTACGAAATTTAGTACCACATATGTGAAAAAAATCAACTATAACAAGTTGAGAAAGTATAGAAATGTCAAGTCAGTTAAAATAGAAAATATCCTAAAATTAAATTTACCATGTCTCCAAGATAAAGAAATTTAAGTTTTATACTATATCTATTTTTTTATATGTTTTTATAACACAAAATATTATAAATGTTATTTTTCTAAACTATAAACTACTAATATTGTATAAAACAACATGTAATAAATCAACAGTAATTGTAATATGTGATATTTCAAATATGAATGCATATTTATGCCATATCGTAATATTACAGCTGTCAAATCAACAAAACTGCACGAGCAAAATAAAAAAAAAAAAATTTCAACCCTTTTTACACATGTTTAAACATTCTTATTTGAAATGCATCAAACAAATACAGGATGACACAAAAATCAATGTCAAACATTTTTATTTCAATTACTTTAACAAAAATACAAAACAAAAATTTTAAATAGGCATATCCTTAGAGGTAGGAGATGGATTGTGTGAAAGGTAACATGTTTAAAATAAAATCTCATAGCTTGACAGCGATTTTTGTAACATCCTGTATATACAGATATATGTAGACTTACCTTTAGTAACTGGTTTTGAAACTTTCGGCTTCTCCACAAGTACTACTTTTGAACAAGCCTTCTTCTCAGTTTTAGTGACAGTCTTTTTGGCTTTTCCCTTTTTGCCTTTAATAGGTAATGTTGTTATTGTAAAATTTTCTGTACTTGTTTGTGCAGTTACATCATCCTTTAGTACATCTGAAATATTAATATAATCCTGTTAAGTTTTAATTATTTTAAAGTAACCACAATCCTAATCTTACTAATATTATAAATGCAAAAGTTTAGATGGATGGATGGACATTTGTTAGCGTTTGTAGCCTAAACGGCTGAACGGATCTCCATGAAATTTGGCACAGGTTTAGAGCATAGTCAGGAAGAACACATAGGCTACTTTTTATCCCGGGAATAGTTACGGTTCCCGTGGAATTCATTTAGTTTTTTAATGTTTACTCGATTATTCTGCAACGGTTCAACACATCTTATTAAAATTTGGCACAGATATAAAACAAAGTCTGGACTACACATGGGATAAGCTTCATGCCCGAAATATGTCCAGTTCCCGAGGGATTCGTAGTTTTTTATAATTTATATAGTTCGTATGTTTTCTAGTACCACGCGGACGAAGTTGCGGGCAACAGCTCGTAAAATACAATACAATAAATACACTGTTTCAATATTTTTAACAACACTTTTAATAACACTGAGAGCCATTTGGTTGACATTATGGACATCAAAGTGGTTATATATTTTACTATAAGAAAAATTACTAACAGAATTGTAGTAGTCTGTCTAGTATCTGATAATTTATGCCACATTTTACATTAAAATTGAAATTTAATCTGACATAAATGAGACAGTTTAGATGGATGTATGGATGTTTATTAGAGTTTGCAGATTAAAAGGCTAGTCTGGCAGAACACAGACCACTGATAGTTTCTTTTTTAATTCACAGACAAAGTCAAAGTCGAAACCTAGTGTACAATGTGTTTGTTCATTAAGTATTAAAATAAATAAATATAGTAAATATTTAATAAAATATTTAGTATTTGGTGAATCAAAAACTATGCAATAATCCATGACAATTTAAATAAACAAAAAAATAGTCTTACCATCACCAAAGTCCATACCCTCGTCCAGATATTCCACCTCAGTTTCCAGAGGCTGCACTTCTAGAATTGTCTCAGATTTGATAGGAACATTGTATGTAACTGTAACATTGTATTATTTAAATATCATAATCAAACAAAAACATTTGAACTATTCCAGCTTAATTAGAAAATATTGTACCAAAATAAATACTACATACCTTTAGGCTTAAATCCACCCCTGCCAATCATGTCCACAAACTTCTTTTCTGAAGCCAGTACCTGCTTCTTGAAGTTGCAAGCATCTCTCAGCCGTGTCACGCAAACCTCGCATATCAGTCGGTTTGGGCCATTGGGCCCATCATTATGTTGAGAGATCTGATCAAATTATAACAGAATAATGATATTAATGCCAGTAAGGGAACATAAATATACATTGCTTCGGGACTTATCACTTGGTGGCTATTTTCAAGTGATATTGAGGAACAATTAACGGTACAGTTAAAATCGGTCAATACAAATTATCATAAAAACAAAATAAGGTGAATTTTAAGATTAATCTGTTAAATAGAACTTACGCTTATATCGAAGCAATCTAGTAACATGTCGGCATATATTTCTGTATCGTCCATCCATGTATATTCAGTACTCAGGTCTTTGTAGCATCCTTCGGAAAGACAGCACCGGCATAGCCCCGGGCTTTCCTTCACAACAATATTATCAAAATCCATTTTGAAGTCTTAAAACATTATCACTTATAAATAACTTAAGAAAACTGTGGAAATTATGGAACACAGTAAAGTAAAACTTAAATAATTAAATTGGAAGCCAGAAGCTTGACGCCATTTTCTTTGTGAAAAATAACAGAGACAAAATCGAAAATCGAAATTGGAAAAAGAATCTATGGGTCGGGTCATAGACAATGGTGATTATAATCGATTGACTTTAATTTACTTGACTTTTTGTATACCGAGATCGGACAAAGGAATAATCATAAACCTTATTTATATTAGACCCACAAGTTATCTAACCCAATGAGCATAAGTGAAACTTAATTATGAGCGCGCCTGCCTTTTATGCCATTTTCTAGGTCTACATATATTTTTTGTATGTTTCATAAGAACCGTCTGATAGATGTGTCTCTAAACGGGCTAGTCATGCTTGTTTTACTATTAAAGCCAGGAAAACAGGTACTTATTAAAGAATTTGTGACCGCTTCAATTTTGACCAGTAGAAAAACGACGCGACGTTTCCACAAAATCGATTTTACTTTGCAATCGATGATTTTGAAAAAGACTATTGTGTGAACATCCCTATTCCCTCAACCGGTAAACGTCAATGTCATACAGTTGTCAATCAAAATTCATAAAACTTAATTGTTTTGCCTATTAAAGTTGTTAATAGAATTGTCTTTTGTGAAATTAATGTGATAAATAAAAATGTCCGTTAAACTATGCAGGTGTTGTTTGAGTGTGGGTCTTCATAAAGATCTAAATATACCCTATTTTAATTTAGAAAACAAGGAAGTTTACTCAGATATGTTATTGGAATGTTTCAATATAGTAGTAAGTATTACTATTATTGATCAGTAGTTACTAATTTAGTATTAAGATGTAATTAATGACCTTACTGCTTACTGCCATCATCTTCCTGGCCTTACCTCGCCCTATGCAGGTGTGCATCAGGTTTTCGACCTCCAGAGCAATATATCCTTTAAGCACTCTCTTCTTTATCATATTACTATGAAATAATCATGTAAGAACTATATTCATACTATCTCTTACAAAATGGAAATGGCAATGCATTTTATTTTTAATTGGATGAACCATAAAGTAAATTTTAAGCTCTTCTTCACCTCCATTGCATTTTTTCGGCAAAGGCCAAACAGGTTGCAGAAATACTACTGTGTTGAGTCTATTTGATTTTTTCCATTTGGTCATAGCGAAGAGTATTCAAACTAATAATAAGAGACTTATTAAAGAAATTGTTGTTAAAATAAAATGATGCATATAAGTTGAAACATAGCAAATGCAATCTCCTATCTATTTATATATATCTAAGGTTCTATGTATTGACTAACAATATTCAATAGTTGTCCACAGATGAAACAAACAATATGATCTGTGAATCTTGCATCACCAGTCTTCGGAGTTCACTTACCTTCAAGCGGCAGGTGATAAAAGCCGAAGAAGATTTTATAGAGTGGATAGAGAAACAAGACAAAGGTACATGTAACAGATAAAACTAAGATACCATTCTACTATACCCATGTCTAGTTAATTTGCCAATTTTACAGACTTCCAGAACATTCTCTACATCAATGTCAAATTTCACCAAGCTTTGTTTAGCCGTTTAGGTTACAAACTCTAACATCCCGGCAATAGATCCAAACTTTCACATCCTATTATATTCTACTATAATAAAGAGTAAACACACACTTTTTTGTTGCCTAAGATGTCAGCAATTACAGCATGTTTTTGAACAATTATCTTTTTAATAAAAAGCTCTACAGTCACGTCACACTTTAGGCTATATATTTCACGCTGTAAAACTTAGGGGGTAAGTATTTTGGATAAAAACCCTAATGTGGGAAAGAGACCATAAGTTGCTGCCAACATTAACGAAACAAGATTACCAAGGTTTGTTGTGTCATGCCAGTTTGACATATGCATTTATAATTTGAGAGATGTAAATAATAAAATTTTCATAGTTTCATGCGGATGAAGCCGCACAGGAACAGCTAGTCTTATACGAAAGTTTAGATGGATGTTTGTTAGAGTTGGTAGCCTAAACTACTGAATGGATTTTGATGAAATTTGGCATTGACATAGAAAATAGTCTGGTAGAAAATATAGGCTACTTGTACTTTTTAATTCCACGCAGTTAAGGGAGCAAAAGACTTATAAATGTATGGAATCTAATATTATATCAACTAAACACCTCTCACAGTAGAGTTTGTACTCTTGGTTTCTATAGTGAGAAAAGTAATATGACTGAATTAGAAGACAACATAAAGATGGAATACTGATATTATAAAGAGGAAAGATTTGTATTTTTGTATGTATTTTTTTATACTATAAAGTGGCAAACGATCAAGCGGCCACCCGAAACCGCTGAAATGGCGAAGCGACCGCTGCCCATAGACATCGGCATTTACAGATGCCTACGACAGTCGAGACGCACATAAAGAGAATATTTCCCCTTCCTATGCGTTTCCTCCACCGTCAAATCCGCTTTTCCTTCCCATCCTTACCTCTGTTGTTATATATTTTACCAATTAGTTAAGCAATGTTGATTATACTTTTTTAATTACTACATATCGTAATTTTCAAATTACAGTTACAGCAGAAGTTAAAGAAGAATTAAAAGAGGACAGTGGAACAGAATCTGATGATTACTTCTTGGCTGATGCAGGTATGAATGTTTGGTAACAGTGGGGTAAAAGTAAATATAGTAACCCCCCACCCCTATAATGTGGTAGATTGTTTGACTACTCTTATATAACACTTTTTAATGCCCCATATAATGATTAAATTGTAATTGATCCATTTTTATACTTCCATTTATAACTTTTACTAGCTGTTGCCCGCGACTTCGTCCGCGTGGTATTAGAAAACATACACACGTATGACTGTATGTAAAACTCATTTTACAGAAAAACCAAAAATGATAAAAGAAAGTAAAGAGCTGTCTAAGAGAGGAAAACCAAATAAGATAGATGAAAAAAATATTGACAGTAAGTACATATAAAAAAAAAACATCAAACTCAAAAACTACTAGATAGATTTTTAATTTTGAAAAAAGTGGATAAAGGTTTATAAAAAAAAAACAATCACAAAAATCGAATCATCAGCAGCGTAATCGATATACACACATAACATCGAATTGTAAATCTTTTTGAATTCGATGACATACATTTTTATTCTCTACCTCAGATTATTAAAAAAACTAGCTGACTAACAGACTATTAAAAAAGTTCCCGTGCGGCTTCGAGTGCATATTATAAAAACTTCATTTTATTGTTTACATTTGTCAAATTCTCAATTGCAAATATCACACCAATTACCTTATTATGGCAATCTTGCTTCCTTAATGTTGGTTCCAATTTATTTACCCTCTAACTTTAATAGCGTGAAAATATATAGCCTAAAGCGTGTCGTAAGTGTAGGGCTTTTTATTATAAAAAGAATTATTCAAAAATATGCTGTAATTGCTACAATCTTAAGCCACAGTCTGTTTAGGCTTTATTATATTAGATTGGCCTGTTGGGGGAAGGCAATTGCCCCCCCCTAACTACTATTAATTCGTCATGTAACGTCCGTAAATATATTTTTTTACAGATAAACAAGAAATCAAAACGGAGCAGCCACAAAGTGACGAATCTGATAACTTAAGTGACACATGTAAGTTGTCGTCCTCGTACTTAATGCATATTAAAAAATGTTAGTGTGCATGTTTCACTAGCTTTTGCCTGCGGTGTCGTACTTGTAAAATTTTAAGAAAACTAAGTAGCCCATAGTGACTTAGTTTTCACAATTCATTGAGCTGTTCTGGATATACACAGTAACAAACATCCATCCATCCAAACTCATTTATTTATACTTCTTGACTAATACTATATTATTAAATATTAACTATATTCAACAGTGGTAGTGCCCGCTTTATCATGTTAGCACTGCAGGGCCGGCACGCCCCCAGTAATACCACGACCACACAGAAGACAGCCGTGAAATGGAACCAATGCCGTGTTTCGTCTGATGAGTGTGGTGCCGGAGGCCTAATTTAAGTCCCTTTCTCTTTACCACCCTTTTCTTATTAGGAGAGGATGGGAGGGGAAGTGGATTTGACGATGGAGGAGATGCATAGGAAGGGGGAATGTCCTCTTTATGTGCGTCTCCTTCTCCATCGTATAAGGGTAGACAACGCGTCTGCAATTGCGGATGTCTATGGGCAGCGGTCGCTTCGCCATTTTGGCGGATTCAGATAACCGCTTGCTCGTTTGCCACCTTGTTATAAAAAATAAAAATAAAGAGGAGATTTGTGTTTTCGAATTTTTGTATGTATTGAAATAATTCAAAAACTACTTTACCGATTTCAAAAATTCTAACATTAAAAATCTACGTTATCAGTAAGTAACATAGGCTTTTTTTTGTTATTTTTTAATTTCACACAAAGTCACGAGCAAAAGTTATATTAGTATGAAAAATACTTAGTAAAAACATCTATCACTTCAAGGCCCTCTCGGGCGCCCTTGAATCGGAATGTTAAACGCGTATTGAGTGACAGCCCAAGCCGAGGTCCCCTCTCGGGGGCCCTTGTGCCTAGTCACTCCATGGAGCGTCCACCGAAGCGATCTAAGAGCTCGGTGGCCTCACAATCCGGTAATAACGAAGTAACGGCTCAAGCCGAGGCTCCTGAGGGAGCCCTCGAGCTTAGTTACTCATAAACGAGGTTGCTAAGCGCCATGTGCTGTTAATGATAGAATTTTAAAAGCCTTTTCATGGTATTTTTGTATGATTTTTAAATTTATTTTTGTTAAATATAAACTACTAATTTCTACCGAGGTACATGTAAACAGTTGGTAGTTTTTAAGTGAAAAAAATAAAGTGAAATTTGAGGGTGGTCGGCATAACTTGTACGTCGACCGGCGAACGAACTGTGCGCTCCCGTTGTTAGTGAAACAAGTGTTTTATTTCGTTTCCTCATCGCCGCATCCTATTATAGCCTCTTTAAGGCAAACAGTGACCATTCAGTCACAAAAAAGATGTTGCCAATTTTCGCATTTTAAATTAATACCTTGTTTATTTCAGTAAATGAAGAACAGGACACAGAAGTATATAAAGAACGTTTAAAGCGTAAAACAAAGAAGACAGAAGATGGCAATTGGCAATCAAAGAAGATAAAAACATTAGTCAATAGATTGACTAATTCTTTAAGTAAGTATATTTCATTATCTCAATCTCTTACTAATATTATAAATGCGAAAGTTTAGATGGATGTTTGTTAGTTTGTAGCCTAAACTGCTGAATGGATATCGATGAAATTTGGTATAGATGTAGAGGATAGTCTGGAAGAACACATAGGCTACTTATTACTTAAATTTTTGTTTTTTTTTAAATTCCATTTGGATGGAGTCGCAGGCGGAAGCTTGTTTGTAAATAAAGTTATTTACAAGAAACGTATAAATTGTTCCAAATCATGACAAAAAATCCATTGCCCTTTTTAGTTTACATATTTTTATTTTCCAATTTGAAATATGCATTTTTGCCAATAAATCTATACTAATATTATATGGAGGAAAAGTTTATTTTAGATTTTTATATGTATTGAAATAACTCAAAAACTACTGGATCCGATTTCAAAAAATTCTTTCACCATTAAAAAGCTATATCATCAGTAACATAGGCTATGTACTTTTTTATTATTTTTTTTTTCCATACAACAAATAATTGTAATTAATGATCTAATTTACAGATACCCGTGACGTTACCGATTTAAAACTAAAAGAAAAAAAGTCTAAAAAAAGCAGCAATCAGAATGATAGAAACGTCATAGTATGGTCAACCAGAAAAAATACTAACAATTTTAAAAACAAAGAAAACCTAAAAACTCTACTGCAATTTAGTAACGTCATTCCATTCAAGAATAGAACACTTTTAGGATATATTTGTGGTTACTGCGAAGAAATATATCAAGATCCCCAAGAACTCCGCAACCATACTAAAGAAAACCACCAAAAGGAACGTTTAGATTTCGCAATAAACTGTGATATGTCAGAAAACAACGTCAAATTGGACGTAACAGATTTAAAATGTACCAACTGCGAGTTGGAATTAAAAAATCTGACAGATTTTAAAACACATTTAGTTAAATTGCATAATAAATTCCTACACAACGATATTAAAAACCACATACAAGAGTATAAACTAAAAAACGGTGATATCTACGACTGTGCGTTATGTTCAGCGACGTATGAGACATTTAAAATGCTAAAACAACATATGAACAATCATTACGACAATTATACTTGCAATAAATGTCATTCAACATTCGCTACAAAACGTTCATTAAGATCACATAAAACTACCCACATTGAGGGTAGTTACAAATGTGATGATTGTGATAAAATCTTCTCCAGTAAAGCTAAGAAAGTGTATCACGAGAAATGTAAACATTTAGGTGAAAGAAAAATCAGTAATTGTCAATACTGTAATGAATCATTCCGCAGTTACTATCAAAGGAATAAACATTTAGTTAAAGTACATAATACTGAAGCTAAATACAAATGCAATATTTGTTCAAAATCTTACGTTATTAAATCATTATTAATGAGTCATATAAAAAAAAATCATTTAATGGAGAGGAATTGTCAATGTACGGAATGTGGGTTCAAATTTTTCAGTAAAAAAGGTCTGAAAGCACATATGGTGAAACATTCGGGTGTTAAGAAATTTTCATGTGAATTCTGTCACAAATCATATGCAAGAAAAAACACATTAAGAGAACATTTAAGAATACATAATAACGATAGAAGATTTAAATGTGATATTTGTGCGGTTGCATTTGTACAGAAATGTAGTTTAAAAAGTCATCTTTTGTCAAATCATGGAATAAGTATGGCGGCTAGTGATATTCTGTCATCATAACCTGTCTTAGCTTTTAAGTATATGTTTTTGTAACTTTTATGTAGATAACTAGCTGTTCCCGTGCGGCTTCATCCGAATGAAATCATGAAAATTTTATTTTCTTTTTTATATCTGTCAAATATAAATAGCAAATGTCAAAATGACATGACATGACAAACCTTGACAATCTTGCTTCCTTGATGTTGGCAGCAACTTATGGTCTCTTTCCCACATTAGGGTTTTTATCCAAAATATTTACCCCCTAAGTTTAATGGCGGAAAAATATATAGCCTAAACCGTGACGTAAGTATGGGGCTTTATATTAAAAAAACAATTTCAGAATATGGTGTAATTGCTGACATCTCAGGCAACAAAGAAGTGTGTGTTTACGCTTTATTATAACAGTATAGATAAATGAATAATCTCAAAATATAAAAAACTAGTTATTATAAGAAAACCTTTAAAGATAGACTTTTCTGTAGAACTTTTTGAGATCTATATTTTTTTCATATATCATTTTTATATACCTCTAACAGTTGTCTACCGCTGCCTAGCAGCGTAAGCGGACAAAAGTTAAAACATAGTGATTTTTTAACGCCATGGTCCAGAAATATGTTTTTTAATAATACTTTCTCAACATTAGTAACAATAAAATATATCCTATGTTACTTACATATAAATTTCCTTTCTAATGGTGAATTTTTAAAATCGTCACAGTTTTTAAGTTATTTCAATACATACAAAAATACAAATCTTTCCTCTTTGTAATATTAGATAACAACGCGTAGATTTTAATTTTTTTGCTGCGGACGGAGTCGCAGGCGACAGCTAGTAGGTTATTTATCTGTGGATGTACCAATTTTGCCGAAACAAGAGTAAATAGATTTAAGTTATCTTACTAATAATATAAATGCAAAAGTTTAGATGGATGGATGTTTGTAACCTAAACGACTGAATGGATTGTTATGAAATCACACTAATATTATAAATGCGAAAGTTTAGATGGATGGATGGATGTTTGTTTGTTATCGTTTGTAGCCTAAACGGATAAACGGATTTCGATGAAACTTGGTACGGATGTAGAGGATAGTCTGGAAGAACACATAGGCTACTTACTTTTGTTTTTCTAATTCCACGCGGACGGAGTCGCGGGCGAAAGCTAGCTTGCTATAAATCGAAGTATAGTCAGAAAGAAAACATATGCTACTTGCTTTTATTTATATTTAATTCTACGCGGAGTAGCAAAAGCTAGTGCAATATGTTTTAATTAGATTTTTTATAAGAATTTAATTTATTTTATTATACAAAATAATAATTTTGTTAATGAATTTTATACTATGTATATATATGAAAATGTTAACGTGTTAATTAAATATTTTTACAGGACATTTTGATAAACAATGTCAACATTTTTATAACTCAAAATGTCATTAGTGATGTGAAGATCATTATCCGATTTATCCGGTTATCGATTCGTATACAGACAACATAAAACTGATTAAAATAATTTGTACTAAAAGTGGTTTTTAATTTTCCAACAACTAAACAACGAGATTATATAGTTCATAAAAAATACAAGTATTTGAACATTGCATAATACGTACTGGTTTAAAACAATCTAGCTTTTAGCTAAAGTTTGAGATTTAGCAATGACATCTTCTATAGTCCCCACCATGTAAAACGCTGCTTCTGGGATGTGATCCAACTCCCCTTTTAGTATCTGACAAAAAAATCTATCGATAAACGCTATGGTATAAAAAATACCATCAACATTGACCACAACTACAGTAAACTGTGAGAGAAAAAAATATGAATTTAAATACCTTAACTGGGAAACATCTAACAATTTTTTTGAGTTAAAGCGACAAAAACCATACCCGTTGAAATCCTTTGATAGTTTCTTCAAGTTTCACTAGCTTGCCAATGTGACCGGTAAATACTTCGGCCACCTGAAAGCATTTTAACAATTAAACTTGGACCATTTCAAAAAACTAATTTGTATTTGGCAAACTCATTGTTGCTACATTTTGTATCAACTTGAATCCACATTATTATTTCTTGTAGTACACTTCCTTCTATGTACATCAGAGAGTCTGAGCTTTGGGACTAACTAATAATACCTGAAATGGTTGTGAGAGAAAGCGTTGTATCTTCCTTGCCCTCGCCACCGTCAACTTGTCCTCTTCAGAGAGCTCGTCCATTCCGAGGATAGCAATGATGTCCTGCAGCGACTTGTAGTCCTAAAGATGATTTACATTGATACATACTATCTATAAAGCGTCGCTTAGTACAATTATAATGCGGTTTTGGGCTCGCATAAATGAAAGATAGTTTTTATCTAAACAATATATGCAAATAGTCTGAAAACTAGCTCGACACTGGATCTTCAAGTATCGGTTTTGCCACTTGTCAAAAAAAATCACATATGTTTTTGTATACTACTGTAATTTTGTTTGATGGCAGTAAAAAAGGTTACTTGTTTATTATTTGTAATTAGATTGTTTTAGTTAAGCCGTTCTAATCACGATAAAACAAAGAAAATTTAAGTAAAACTTTCAAATAAAATCTTACCTGTAAAATCTTCTGCACTCCTCTAGCAACGTTATAATGTTCCTGTCCAATGATGTGTGGGTCCATTACCCTGGAAGTAGAATCGAGAGGGTCGACTGCAGGGTAGACACCCAACTCGGCGATCGCACGAGAGAGCACTGTGGTCGCATCTAGATGGGCGAAGGTAGTAGCCGGCGCTGGATCTGTCAGATCGTCTGCTGGGACGTACACCGCCTGGATACATAAAGGTTACAACAAATACACTTGTACTAAAAAATATTACTATGATCGCTCTTATTCTTATTGAAAAAACAGCGACAAAATCCTTTCAATTAATTACCTTTAACAGATTCAATGAATTAACAATATGTCAACTAAAACTGTTATTGAGATTTTTTATAAGAAAACGGGCAAACGAGCAGCGGAAACACAGAGGTGGTCAATAAGATCTCTAGATTGGTTAAATTCGAACCATATATATTAAAAAAGATAATTAAAAATCGTGGACAATTAAAATTCGATATCAAACATCAAAAACACACTTGTACACTAGTGATAGAGCCGGCTTTAGTAGTTGTGATGCGTTCTTGCATCGTGCCCATGTCTGTCGCTAGCGTGGGCTGGTAGCCCACCGCTGATGGGATACGGCCAAGCAACGCTGACACCTAATAAGTTGAGTGTGAAAGTGAAATATACTGACAAAAACACTAAAGAAAAATTAAGACAGTTTCCGATAATAGTAATATTATTATGACTATTTCTTGATACTTACCTCTGAGCCGGCTTGTGTGAATCTGAATATGTTATCAATAAATAGTAATACATTCTGTCCCTCCTTGTCGCGGAAATGCTCGGCGACTGTTAGACCGGTGAGGGCGACACGAGCGCGTGCGCCCGGCGGCTCGTTCATTTGACCGTACACTAGCGCCACCTAGATAATCGGTAATTATTACCAATAACATGCACATCACTATCGAATTAAGACATCTGTCAGTGTTGTGTTGACATTTCAACGGGAATTTTTGTTTTCTTATTTGAATTTTATTAGAGGACTTTTAGGTTTATTATTGAAATTGTATTTAAAACTACCTTTGAGGTTTTATAATCATCAGTTATAACACCGCCGACTTTCATTTCGTTGTACAAGTCATTGCCTTCTCTTGTGCGCTCGCCTACACCAGCAAACACCTTAAAATAAATAATAGTGTTAACAATTTTATTTTATTTCTATGTCAAATGTAATGTAAAATGTATTGTATAGAAAATAAGAAATAAAGATATATGGGAAAGAAATGCTAACAAAATTGCCTACAAAACACTCTGGGAAACATAACGAATTAAATGACAGAAATAAAATAAAATTTTCATCAAAATATTGAATTTATACTTCTATACTAATATTAATTAAAAACCCAAAAACTTTTGGTCTATTTCAGAAATTCTTTCACCATTAAAAAGCTACGTTTTCAGTAACACAGGCTATGATGTCTATTATTTTTAATACCACGCGGGCGAGTCGCGAGCAACAGCTTGTGTTTAATAAAACATTGCCGACTTTTACTATGGTATTTTGTAGTCTAACCGAGAATCCTCCATGTGCTTTAGCAACGTTGTTGATCAACTCCATGATGAGTACCGTCTTCCCAACACCAGCTCCGCCAAACAATCCGATCTTACCGCCTGAGAAAATGAGTTTTAACAATCTATGTAAAGTCAATTGAGCGACTTTATTTTTTAAAATTGATAAATCGCACATTTATTTATAAAAAGAATTGACTCAAAATTTATCTGAGTTTTTAACATGAACGCTATTTTTTTCGCGAGAAGAATATGACTGATTCAACTCGCGTCACAATAGAACATCTGTGTACAAAATACATAATATAGAAGCATAGGAAAAGGTAGATGAGTGGAACGTACCTTTAACGTAAGGCGCCAGAAGGTCCACAACTTTAATGCCAGTAACAAGAATCTCCTGCTCCACGGACATTTCAACAAAAGGCGGCGCTTCAGCGTGGATCGGCGCGAACTGGTCCGTCTTGATAGGACCACGCTCATCTGCGTTTTAAAATGACCTTAGAAGTTTTTAACCGGACTGTTTAAGTAATAAATCATTTAATTTTACCTATAGGCTCTCCAATAACGTTAATAATCCGTCCAAGAGTCGCTTCACCGACTGGTATAGTGATGGGCGCGCCCGTGTCCACTACAGCCTGACCACGAATCAAGCCTTCAGTACCGTCCATTGCAATAGTCCGACAAGTACGCTCCCCCAAGTGCTGTGATACTTCTAATATGAGACGAGGCTCTGAAAATTATAAAATACGAGCTGTTCCCTGGCTTCGTCCGCATGAAATTATAAAAACTTTAATGTTTACGTTTCAGTGTCTCAAAATTCAAATGCGCAAATGACAGAAGGCCTTTGACATTGGATAACAATCACCGTTACCATGGCAACCTTGCTTCCTTGTTGTAGTTTTGTTTTTGTCCCTTTCCCGCATGACTTTTATCCAAATTATTTACTCCCTAAGTCTTATAACGTGAAAGTATATAGCCTAAAGCGTGTCGTAGGTATAGGGATTTTTAATTAAAGAGTGGATTATTCAAAAACATACTGTGCAAACATCCTACGTAACGTGTGTGTTTACTTTATTATTAGTATAGAAGTATAGTTTGGTGAGTGGATAATGATCTAAAGAGGAGGGGGGAAATGGTAGTAGTAAAAATACTTTTATTCCCCATACTCACTTCTTCCTGGTACTTCTAAAGCGTTTAAAATTGGCGGCAAATGCTTGTCAAACTGTACGTCGACTACTGCGCCAATTACTGCGAAAAAAAATACTATTGCTTACCCGTTTGTCTAAATTCAACCTTATTTGTATCAAAGGTTTATTTATAATTTTAAAAGTACATTTGTTAAAAGTACATCGTGTTATACCTGCAATTATTTCTCCTTTAGCACCGGGTACAGATTTTACAGGTGTCCCTTGAGTTTCTTTGGGCTTGGTCCCGCTCTTGACAGGCGACTTTTTTCCATCGCCTGTTTCGCGCTTTGTCGGCGTTGAATCAGCCGACGTGGAATACTAGATAAGGAGTAATTTTGTATTTATGTGACGTCTAGTCGAAGAAATAAATTAGCTGCCCATTCGAGATGTACACCAAACTATCAACATAACCTAATTGCACTGTAAGCGTCAAATGAAACTGGGTAGGAAATAAATTTCCCTAACTTCATGGCAGTGGTTCTCAAACTCTTTTGTATAATATTCCTTATGTTTCATCTTTGGGCACACACCGTACCTCAGAGGGATACACAATTTTGGGAAACACTGGTTTACACTGTCATACTTGTATAATGTCTCAAGAATGCGCTAGTGATCTCAAAATCAAGTTTGACTTTGCCCATGGGTTTAAAATTGTCAACTTACATTTAAATTAGGGATTTTCAATTGAGCGCAAGCGCCGATCTTAGCCATACGTGACCACTTCTTTTCTTGTTGCGTTTCGTCCATTTTTTCATATTTTTTCACTACAATTTTCCGAACGCTAGATGGCGCTGTTTTTAAAACTTTCGACTTAACCGTCTCAACGGTATCTAATTTCGAATTATTCCTTGTAGCAGTTAATCGGATGTTAGTACTGATATGTTGGCATGATGTTTTGCCGTATAAGTTATCTGTTGAACAAAATAAAGTTATTTGTCTGATGGTTTTTACTGCGAGAGTGCTGCAGCAGAAGATTCTCAAGCGCCACAAAAATTGTGGACCATAAGACTTCCAATATAATGATTTATCAATAATTTAGGATATTAGTCGATGATTAAGGCTTTTTTTTATTACTATACTAATATTATAAAGAGGAAAGACATGTATTTCTGTATGTATTGATAACACAGAAACTACTGGGCGGATTTAAAAAATTCTTTCACCGCTATAAAGGTAATTTATCTGTGAGATGTGATAGACTGCTCTATGTGTTCTTCTATACTATGCTCTACATCTATGACAAATTTTTATCAAAATTCAATGAGCCGTTTATTTGCCAGCCAGATATTTCGAGCCACTAGGGGGTAGTTGCTCTCCATGACTTCCCTGGAGATGCCCACATATTAAGGTAAGTAACGCATCTATTATTAACGGAAGTATAACCAGTCACTTCCAAGGACCAACTTAGACCTTGATATTTGTACTTACTTGATACAAACCACTTAAAACTTGGAATCACTTTCATTTTAACGGAATTTTAAAACGTGTTACTTGATGTTTGTGAATACTAGATGTCAATGTCATATTTATTTTTAATTTGTCAAAATGAGTTTAAAACGAACCGTGAAGGTTAAGAAGGTAAAAGGATTAAGTATTGACATCAAAAAATGGACAGATCTATTTCGTATTCATTTAAAAAAAAAAAACAAAGTAAAATAAAACACTATTTCTTTGCCATTCTTCTTCTTTTGGTGCCGTCTCCTAACGAAGATTGGCAATCATTACAGCGACTTGAAGTTTGGACACAGCAGCTCTAAATATAGAACGCGTACTTTTTTACGTACGTACGTTCTTTGCCATAAATACACAAAAATTTACAGAACTTGTTAATGAAATAAAAAAAATCAGATCTCGGCCAAATGGTAATGGCTCAGGTGATGGAGCCTCCAGTTTGTCACAGTTTGCGTTGGTTTTCAGCCTCCCATTTTGGTTATTTTGGAGCTGACGGTAGCGAATTGCATCGGTGATGAGGATAGTAACTACTTAACAAACTATCGCACAACTGTTGCGCGATTGTCGATAATTTTACAGTCAATTGAACTATTTAGTTGCACAAATAAAAATCGAGTAGTGTGCGCATCTCCATATATGCTCATAGGAAACAAAGCGAGACGAAACGGTTGTTAGTCTTTGTTTCTGGTGTTTTATTTTTGAATGGGCCGGTGCAATACCACGACCAAAGAAGACAGGGGTGAAGTGGAAGCAATTCCGCGTTTCGTCTGATGAACGTGGTGCCGGAAGCTTAATTTAGTCCCTTTTCACCATTTTCTTAAGAGGTAAGAATGGGAATGAAAAGTGGATTTGATAACGATGGAGACGCATAAAGAGGGGAAAAATTCTCTTTATGTGCGTCTCCTCTTTCGTTGAATGAAAGTATCTAGTAAGCGGATGTCTATGGTCAGTCGCTTTGTCATTTCGGCGCATTAAGGTGGCTCGTTGCTCGTTTGCCACCTTAGAATATAAAAAAAAGTGCGATAGTGTAGTCAAAGGTTCTAAGTTAATGTATAAAAATTCAATAGGTGAAAACAAAAGAAGATACGGAGTGTTTAAATATTGAAAATAACACTAGAAATCGGGTGTGAGGTGGATTTATGTAAAGGGGCAAAGGGTTAATTGTTCTGACACGTGGTGACTCCCACGCCCCACACCCCATGGTACCAGCCGTACAAATAATTGTTTTATAATTAGGCATGTCTTTGCGTTGTTACTGATGATTTCTGTGATGTAAAATCACAGTAGAAAACGCTTAAATATTCGTTCAAACGAATTTCGTTAAACGAAGACATCTCGATAGATATATTTTTTTAAGTTATAAGTCACAATCCTCAGGCATTTTTACTGTAAAATTCACGGTGTAAGTGTCAATTGTAAACTACAGATTACTCTACGAATCTTCTACCAAAAACTAACTTTATATAATAAACTGTCCTGTCTACTAGTTAAGGAACGCACAGAGAAAAAAATTACTACATTTTTTTTCATGATAAGACTTAGATATCAAATATGTCTAGCGAAGCTAGTAGTTAGTAGTAAGGAGAAGGTAGTAAGGTAGTAGCTAGGATATAAATAGTACATAGTATATAGTATTAGCTAGTACATAGACAGCTTTTGTTTTTTTCCGATTTAAACGTACCTGTAAAGTACAAGCGACATTGGACTATTTATTGACCATCGGGTGAAGGTTTATGGGACATAGAAAACTGTGGAGTCAAGTAGTTATTATTTAAAACTCGATAAGAGTAATGTTCATACTCGGGGCTGTTAAGCAATATCCTTTACACAGAAGAAACGCCTAAACTAAAAAATAGAGCTAAATTTTTCCTGATGACACTGGATGACTTTAGTTTCCCTTCCCACTCTAAAAAGGGAATGGACGAACAGAAAAAGGAAAGTTCTTTTTGACCCCACTGAATCAGTAGGGTAGTTTCGATTTTATTCAGTTTCAACAGTTTTTCCTGTCTGTATTACTTGATCGTTTGTAATGTGTTTCGTTCGCGTCACCGCAAGCGTCAATTGTAAAGCCGCCATATTGTAAGGTTCTTTCTACCGTACTGTTCTTTGTTAAAATCAATATTTAAATAAACAATACTTTTAAAAAGTACCTAGAGTTATTTATTTCGAAGGAATTTTATTAGTATTACACGTAACTTATAAGATTGTGAAGAAGAGTGGAAATCGAATTGTAAAATTGAAAAATCTTTGAATCTCAGATTATGAATGCAAAAGTTTAGATGGATGGATGTTTGTTAGAATTTGCAGCCTAAACTGCTAAACGGATCTCGATGAATTTTGGCATAGATGTAGAGGATAGTCTGGAGGAACACATAGGTAACTTTGGTTTTTTCTACGCGTAAGGAGTCGAGGGAACCAGTTAAGAAAACCATAAAACGTTCAATCCACACATATCTCTGAGTAGTAAAAACAGTGTTAAAATATACTTACATTAAGTGTCTTCAGTTATACAAACAGTAGAGTAAAAAGGACTCAATAAAGCAACACATAGCATACTAATAACACTTCATTAACTATTCAACGCTGTTACAATACGAAGCAACGCTTCTCAAACTTTTCTAACCTTAAAACCATGAATACTTAACTTATACTATAAAAAAAATAAAGAAATGGCGCAAATAAAAGGCATCCGGTGAACATTTTTATTGTTTTTTTTTCTTTATCAATGTTGTATACATATAACTGGATTTGTTATCATTCTTGTGTCTTATAACTTATTGCTTATGTAACTGTTCTATAACTTATCTGTTCGTGTAATTTATAAATAAAAAAAATAGTTATGGGGTAAATTACTCTTATATTACATCTATATTTATGTTATAAAGAGGAAAGGTTTGTATTTTTGTATGTATTGATATAACTCAAAAAGTACTGGGCCGATTAAAAAAAATGCCTTCACCATTAAAAAGCAACGTTATCAGTGGGTAACATACTAGGCTAGGTGGGTAGGCTATACTTTTTGTTATTCTTTAATATCACGCTGGCGAAGTCACGAGCAACCGCTAGTGTATATTAAAAAAAACTGCATTAAAATATTTAAAATCGGTCTAGTAGTTGTTGAGTAATTTCAATACATACAAAAACACAAATCTTTACTCTTTTTAACATTAGTATAGATGAAAGTTTGAGCAACACTGGCCTATGTCATAAGCGCGATACAACGCCGTGGAAAACTCGCGGGCGTGGCGTGCTCCCTCCAATGGTAGTCTAGAAAATTACCTAATAATTACCGCTCTAACCAATGGAAAAGCCGAGGAAAATTACATAAAACTGAACACTAGTTTTCTTTGTGAAATAACCGCGGTAGAACGAAACGCGCGGTCGCGTGCACGCGTATTTTTTATCTGTACATATGTGGCTTGATTTTTTTAATTGTACTAAACGACAATAGCCAGTATCAACGAAGTGGACATAACAAAATACTTTAATTTTTAAAAACCAAATAAAAAAACACTAAACAAAATCGTTATTTAAATAAATAAACTTACAAACAAAAAGAATTTAATAAATTAAGTACTATTTTAATTGGAATATCACTCTATATCATTGCTTAAAAAATACGCTATCAATCAATCAATCAATAAAGCGTTTTAATTTCAACTTTAATGTCAATTTTCAAATGTAACTACAAATTTGTAATTAAAAAATATAAAAAAAATATAGTTTTGAGATGTATTTTAAATATTACGCAATAGTGACAGATTAAAAAAGGCGCTAAAATGGAGTCTAACGTTCCGTTATACGACTTGGAGTCTATGTCGTGTACCGCACAGCATAGTAGCGCATTGGCAGCCCTACGTTTACTCAGGAGTTACAATCATTTTCTTGTACCTCCCGGTAAGTTAATAGTGGTAGTTTTCATGTCACTGCACGAAATTCTTCCCGTTTTGCGCCGTGTCTAATTGTATGCACCAGAGAAAAATTTTACTCTTATCCCCTTCCGACACTTTGTTATAAAAGCATGGGAAAGGATGGTGGATTTGGCGGCGGGGAAGAACTTTACTAGAGACCCACCCCGGCTTCGCACAAGTCTAATGATAATACGAAAATCTGTTTATTTATATCCCATTATATAGAGGAGAGATTTGTATTTTTGGATTTTTGTAAGTATTTGATTTACACAAAAACTACTGGACCGATTTTAAAAATTCTTTCACCATTAGAAAGGTCATTTAGCTGTGAGTAACATGGTCTATAGTTTTTACTATTTTTAATTACACTGATCGAAGTCGCGAGCAACAGCTAGTTACCATAGTTATAATTGTATAAACTTATAAATCTTATAAATAATATAATTGTAAAATCCGTTGCGTTTAAAAAATAGGGACAAACAGATAGCAGGAATCGTGGTTGTTTTAAATATACTAGATGTTCCCGTGCGACTTCATTCGCATGGAATCATAAAAACTTTACTTTATACTTTTGTCAAATTCTCAATTGCAAATGTCAAAATTACCATTACCATAATAACGACAACATGAAGATTACTTTCCAGTTTATTTACCACCTAAGTTTGATAGCGTGAAATATATAGCCTAAAGTGTAGTAAGTGTAGGGCTTTTTATTACAGAAAGGATTATTTTAAAATATGCTGTGATTGCTGACATCCTACGACACAAAGAAGTGTGTGTTTACGCTTTATTATAATAGTATAGATATAGATAGATAAGAGACCTGAAAGCCGCTAGTGACCATAATTTATGGGTTTTTTAACTGTGTTTTATTTATTTTTACTTTCCCTAAAACATTTGTAAAAATGTTTAATAGCATTTGAAGAATTGAATAAGAAAGTAGTATCTTTCGCTTTCCACCCTTTTCTCAAGAGGAAAGCATAGGAAGGAAAAGTGGATTTGACGGTGGAGGAGACGAATAGGAAGGAAAATGTCTTCTATATGTGCGTTCCGTCAATGAAGGGTAGGCAAAGCATTTGCTATAGCGGATGTTTATGTGCAGCGGTCGCTTTCCATTTCAACGTATTCAGGTGTCCGCTTGCTCCTTTACCACCATATATTACAAAAAAAGCTATTAACAAAACAGTAGGGGACAGAACGGGGTGACGGTTAATCCGCTCTGGCATACAAACTCATCAGACGTAACGAGGTAGTATGTGCACGATTCTACACGTGCGGAATTAAAATAATCTTTCTCAGATAAATATAATCGCAATGATAAGTAAATATGTAGATTTTCTTTCTTAATACGTCAACAATGAAGGTAATAAAAAAATATTTGAATAACTAACAATACGATCAAATATTTGTCAAAGACAAACCTCAATTAGTGAGTTTGCCCAACCGTTTAGAGGGTGCAGGGCGGAGGGCGCGTGGCAGCGATCAAGGGGCCATCCATATTTTATTCATATGTTACCCATTAGCGACTTCCGCGAGGAATTAAAAAGAAATCTATCTATCTATACTATTATAATAAAGCGTAAACACACTTCTTTGTTGCCTAAGATGTCAGCAATAACAGCATATTTTTGTATATTTTTTTAAAAGCCCTACACTTACGTCACGCTTTACATTCACGCCGTTAACCTTAGGGACTAAATACTTTGGATATAAACCCTTATGTGGGAAAGAGATCGTAAGTTGTTGCCAACATCAAGGAAGCAAGATTGACAAGGTTTGTCATGTCACGTCATTTTGACATTTGCTATACCGGAACAGCTAGTTCATAATAATTTGTAAGAAGTAATATAAGGTAAGAGACCCAGTAGCTAGTAAGATACGATACATTATAATTTTAAGCCTTTTCGAGTAACTTTAGAATTAAATGAAGGTTACTTTACGATAATTACAAACGCTATCAAGTATTCTTTACATTATCGACGTAAAGTTTGTAATAGCAACACCTGGCCGTGGGAGTTACCGGCTGGTCGATTTGATCGGACGCCCACTCACCCCACAATGACAGTACGAAGGGTAATGATGTACCTTTGTAGTTCATAACCCCAATGTACACCTGCCTTATTAAATCTTTGACAAAGTAAATACGAATTGTGAAAAAGATTTGTTTTGAAAAACCAAAAACTACGACTGCCTATTCGATTATTCGATATGGACGCACACTCTTCGATTTTTAGTTGTGCAAATAAACAGTTGAATTTACTAAATAATCGACAATCGCACAGCTGTCGTGTGATTATTCAGACAAAGGTGTTTGCCCACTCTGTAATTGTTGGAAAATATTACCATAATGCGTAAAATTTTGTGATAAGTAGAGTCGAGGAATCTGGTTATGTCCCAACTTAGGGTTATTCCAAACCGTCTCCCCGCTCTGTCCTCATTTGGGGACAGATGAGAATAAAAAGTTTCACTCGTCGCAAAAGGTGGGACGGACCACCTTTTGCGACGAGTGGACATTTCGAACTTATTTTATTTCATAACGGTTCCATCTGTCACCTTATTGTAAATAGTGGGAATAAAAGGTGGGATGGATGAAAGTTTTTATTCTCACGTGGGGACAGCACAGGGTGACAGTTGGGAATAATCCCACCTTAAAGTTGCAGTTGCCTAACGGTGCATACGCTTTGACATGACGTGGAACAATAACATTGTGTTCCTTTATAGCCAAAACCGGAGTTCAAATACGGGAAAATAATAGTATATCTTGTTTGTAGATGTCCACGGAGTAGTTCCCCTGTTGGCAACGCTGCCGCAAGCTCCCTGTCTACCAGCGTACTGCCAGCATCTACCAGTCAGAACACCACGTACGTATTATGTCTAAATCACTTGAAATATACTCTAAATGTAAGTCTTAGATGTGGCTTATGTACCAACGTTACGCGGTATAATGTCACATAGTAGCGTCGCATCGAGCGGCTTGTTGCTCGCTGGTTTCACCGTAACATTGTGTACTGACTGCATAAATAAAAATGTGGATAACATTTTTTATGAATTCCTTCTATATTTAATTTGCCGACGGTACATTTAAGTTTTTTCATCAGTATTATCACCTACAAGTGTGTCTGATGTTGACGTGAGAAGGCGAGGAGAGAAAAGACCTATACCTGCGGAACTTAAAGATGAGAAGTATTTCGAAAGACGACGACGTAACAACCAAGCAGCGAAGAAGTCTAGAGATGCTAGAAGAGTGAGGGAGGATCAGGTAAGATTGCGAAAATAATTGACACAAAGATTTCAAAAGCAGTTAAAAGTAATAGTGTGTATTGAGTAACATTTTTTCAAACAATTTTGAATAAATAACTTTATTCATTGTCAGTTAACTAGACACTATCTAGCCTATGTTACTAACAGATAAATTACCTCTCTAACGGTGAAAGAATTTTTATAATCGGCCCAGTAGTTTTTGAGTTATTTCAATACATACAACAATACCAATCTTGCTTCTTTATAATCTATACATATAATAAAATTGGAGTGTCTGTTTGAAACATCAAAAGAAAAATTCCAGATTTCAGGGAAGATGATGTATTTGCGTTGCTCATAACGAAAATCGCATTTAAAAAAAATTGTCAGTCTGTCTGTCTGTTCGCAAGCTGTTCCAGATAATCTGCGAAACGGCTGGACTCATTTTGACGAGTCTTTCACTGGAGGGTAGCTGACATGAATAGGCAGGCATATTATAGGGTACTTTTTTAATTCTGCGCTGTCAAAATGGCGCAAAGGGTGCTCTTTGCAGTAACGAAGTTTGCGGGCGACAGCTCGTATTATATACCTGCGTTATCCCATTCGCAGATAGCCTGGCGTGCTTGCTACTTAGAACAGGAGAATGCGTCTCTACGAGCGCACGTCGCAGCTCTCCGCCAGGAGGCGCTAGCGTTGCGCGCACTACTGGCCCAGCCGGCACACACACACACACTCTGCGCAGACGTCGTCTCAACACAAGAGCAAACACGAACACATGGTCATACTTGTTCGATAGACACACAAGGCGCCCCTACTTCCACAACAACTGATTAACTGCACTCTGTACTAACTCAGGTTTTGTGCTTGTAATTATCATTTTAACAGTGGTAGAGCCCGCTTTAAGATGGCACGAATGGGACGGCTCTCCCGGTGTACCACGACCACACAGAAGACATGCGTGAAGAGGGAGCAATCCCGCGTTTCATCTGATAACTGTGAGTGTTGGTAACCTAATTAAAGTTCCTTTCCCTTGACACTATTTCCTTATAAGAAAAGAATGGGAAGGGAAAGTGTATTTGACGGTGGAGGAGACGAATAGTAAGGGCAAATATCCTATTTATGTGCGTCTCCTCCGTCAATTAAGGGTAGGCAACGCATCTACAACTGCGGTTGTCTATGGGCAGCGGTCGCTTCGCCGTTTTGAGGAATTCAAGTGGTCTCTTGCTCGTTTTTACCTTATATTATAAAAAAAATGTTTATCTTATTAAAACGCAAAAGTTTGCATATATGATTAGGCTAGCTTAGTGTTTTTATTGTGTGAATAGTATTTACCTAGTTAAGTTAAGCCCGCTACACACGCCCCGTTTTATCTAAACAAGATGGAAGCAATTCCGTGTTTCGTGTGATAAGTGTGGCGCCGGAGGCCTAATTTAAGTCCCTTTCTCTTTACCACCCTTTTCTTATAAGGAGAGGTTGGGAAGAGGAGGTGGATTTGATGGTGGAGGAGATGCATAGGAAGGGGAAATATCCTCTTTATGTGCGTCTCCTCCTCCGTCGTATAATGGTAGGCAACGCATCTGCAATTGCGGATGTCTATGGGCAGCGGTCGCTTCGCTATTTTGGCGGTATGGGGTGGCCGCTTGCTCGTTTGCCACCTTATGTTATAAAAAAAAAATTAATGGCACCAAGTATACAAACAAGAATGTATGAAATTGTACTTCGTTGACATTAAATAAATAAAATCTGAATGATCCGAGTGTTCTGATAAAACTGAGCGTGTGTAACGAGCTTTATGTTACTGTACTTGACTGTAATTATTACATAAGATAATCTCTGTTCTGTTAAAGAGAACAAAAGTAAAGAAATTGTATGCGATTTTCAAGGCAGTGAAATTCTAAAGTTAACATTCACTACATGTAAATAATTGTATTTAATTCACTAATAAACACACTGGAAAATAAGAAAGGAAATTTTGTTTGAAATAGTGTTTTATTAAAGTTTTGTGATGCTTATTTCGGAAGTGTAAGTGACTTTTACCATCTTTTATGGCCGGTTTCCCAGCTTCGTTTGACTATTCGTTAGTGTTTATTCGATAACCTCATGAAGTGCGTTTCTGAACCACGTAACTTAAGTTTCACTGTTTTAAAACGTCAAATGTATGATATACTAGCTTTCGCCCGAGACTGTGTCCGCGTAGAAATAAAAAAAACAAAAGCGATCAGACTATGTTCTTCCAGAATGTGCTTTACAACTATGCCAAATTTTATCGAGATCCGTTCAGCAGTTTCAACAAACAGTTCTAACAAACATCCATCTAAACTTTCAAATTTATAAATTTAGGAATAAGATAATTAGAAAAAAACCAAACAGTTTAAAAAAATACATTTATTCAATAAGTGTACGAATCCTGGCCGAAGCCGAGTTCCGCCATCTTGGAGTCAATCCAGGGTCGGAGTACGGCAACGTCAGCATATACTGCGGGCACCGCGTCGCCACAACCAAGTCCCCACGCTACCATACCTGATGCGGCATATCTACCCTCTTGACCCTGGAAAGTAACATACATTGTTAAAAAAAAACTATATTTAGGGCTTGTCCAATTCTTGTAAATTATCAAATAATCCTACGTATGAAAAATGTGATGGAAATATCGGGTTTCAGTACTCTATCTGACAGTGGCGTCACTTTTAAGTTATCTGAACCTCTATCATACAATGGTCCCATCATTTTTATGGTATCTGAGCCTCTATCAGCCAGTGGTGGGATAGGCCCTAAGATTAAAAAACTTACGTTTATGGGACACATTAATGGAGAACCACCATCTCCGGTGCATGTGTCTTTCTTCGGCTCCCCGCCAGCGCACATGAAGGTATTATGCAGTTTGAATACCGGACCCAGTCTGGTCAGTCGGAGTTCCCGCTGACATCTACTCCTATCAATAACGGGGATGTCCACCTGAAATATGTTAATAATTATTAATATTACTAGCTGTTACTGACGCCATTAAAATAAAAAAATATAGCCTATGTCATACACATATAAATAACCTTTCCAATGGTGAAATAATTTTTGAAATCGGCCCAGTAGTTTTTGAGTCATACGTACATACAAAAATAAAAATCTTTCCTCTTTAAATTTGCGTTGCGTTGCTTACTCTTCATTGACGGAGGAGGAGACGCACATAAAGAGTACATTTTTTTCCAAACCACTTTTCCTTCCCATCCTTTACTCTTAAAAAAAGGGTGGAAAGGGAAAGGGACTAAAATTAGGCCTCTGGCCTTTAGGCTAATAGGGACTAGACTGCAATAACTAGAAAAAAAACGGCAAAACATATATTGTGGGCGAGATTACATTCCAGCTAACATGATCCAAGCTTGAACTTGCCTACTGGCGTACAAGTCTATACTAATCTAATAAAGCGTAAACACACACTTCTTTGTTGCCTAAGATATCATACTTTCGAATAACTATTTTTTTGATAAAAAGCCCTACACTTACGTCACGCTTTAGGCTATATATTTTCATGCCGTTAAACTTAGAGGTTTTTTTTGGATAAAAACGCTAATGTGGGAAAGAGACCATAAGTTGTTGCCAACATCAAGGAAACAAAGTTGCCATGATTTGACATCATGTCATGTCATTTTGAAAATTGCAATTGATAATTTGACAAATGTGAACAATATAATGATATTTTTATAATTTTATGCGGATCGTCGCATGGGAACAGCTAGTGGATAATATGTCGTTAGATTTAAAAGTTATTTACCTTTTTAAGTACTGCCTGATATGAGCCTGCTGTACCGAATTTCGTCTTACCCCAGCCTGCGGAGAAGCAGCGGATGCCGCTAACCGCGCGCTTGCCGACGGGGGGTAGGCAGATTGAGTTAACATTGGGAGCAAACTCTAAAGCCTGATCGAGTACTAATAATGCTACATCGTTGAATAGGTTAACTGTGAAAAAAAAAAACATAATAAAATTTAATGTTATTTTTTTTTAAAACGACTCAGCACAAGTGCTGGTCTTCCATCTTCTCTACAAAGGGAATAATAGTAACCCTAAAAATTTAAAGGGCTACAATTATTCCATACATCATTTTTAAGTAAGTCTTATAGTTTAGGCTACGTAAGCCAAGAAAGCAAAATGACCCTAAATTTCGTCGCGCGATTTTGAGCTAAACTATTTAACTACGTCGTAGTCTTTGACTTCAAAAATCAAACAAAAAAATGGGAGCCAACTTTCGGATGAACAAAGAATTATCAAAATCGCTCCACTAGCGGCGGAGTTATGCCGTAACACACATAAAAACATACGGCCAAAACGGAGAATGGCCGTTTATGGTTACTTTTTTATATTAGTCACTCCAATTTTATTATATGTATAGATAGAAGATATTGATAAAGATTAATAAAAATATAATATCGTCTACAGTAAAAAGTAATTATATACTAGGCCTAAGATTTATTGTTTACGGTGACTTTGGCCATATATCAACACAACGTATTCGTGGTTCGAATTAGTTACTTATTGCGGTGAACAAATCGATTAGTCATTCAATACCACAGATATTTTGGTATTATATGAGGTTTTCCTGTTTACAAAATAATAGTTTAGACATATAATAGTTACTAATTACAGTATACCTTCCTATAATTCGTCATGAGAAATCGCATTTAAAAACTCACAGTATAAAACAGGACAAAGCCAATAATCGTGTTATAATGGGTTCTTTAATAAATTGTTAGGAATATTCGCGTTATAGAGGGTAATTTCCACGTTATAAGTGGTGTTCACTGTACAGAGGAGAAATTATGAATGTAGACCATAGTTACCTCTAACAGTATTAAATTGTTCATGTATTATGACCCTTTCGACGTTCCTGTCCTGATAGGGTAATACTTCGTCCTGAGAGTTCGTGTCCCATTCTCCGGCGCGCGTCAATAATTTTATATTCTTCTCGAAAATGTTGTGTGCGGTAGTGAGTACTACCCTCGGGTGTATAACTGACCCGCCACTGGTGTACAAATATTCTTTACCTTCTTCCGGCTTGTCAGGATTCTTCAATACTACCCTGGGTGATAAACAAAAATTAAACACAAAGAATTATTAAACGACAGCAAACCATCTTAGTTAAAATGAAAACTGCCCATCATCATCTTCTTTGCCCTACTTCCGTAAGGCGCAACAGGTTTTTGTCCTCCACATAACTCTATCATACGTCATCTGTCACTCCCTTGATCATGACATTTTATTGATGTTACTGGCAACTAGCTACGTGAGACAAATGAAGAATAAAAAAGTTTATAAAAATTAGAATGAATATCAGAGAGATTCGAATTGGGTTTTTGACGGATGTCTTAGTTTTTATGTAAAATGTTTTATTTTCTTAACATGTATTATCTGTAAGAAATAAACTTTTTTGCTTGTTTCCACAAATCCCATCGCCCACATGCGTATACAACTACAAATACATTAACACATCTTTCATGCAATTACAATCTCTATAAGGTTCTCCTTGTTACATGCGATTCATCCCTCATAACATGCCCATGGGGACAATCTCAGTTACAGTGAGCTGGTGATTTATTCTACCACTTACTTGAGTATGGCGACTATCCAAGGGAACTCAGCGAACTCGGCCCGTTCACTATCAGACATGGTTTTAGAATTATCACCATTACGCCAACCGCATCCAGTATTCTGAAAAAAGATTGCCTATCTTCAAATCCGCCTTTATACCGCATAGTCTAAGAGCCAATAGCCTAATGGTTTGTGGTACGGACTACCGATCTTGCGGTCGAGGGTTCGAATCCAACATTCGACTTGTCGTGAACCATATCCTAGCACAAGCATAGAGCTTAGTTGGTATGGTTTAAGGAAATATTGGTAAATTAACAAAAAAATCTCCTAAACGGGTAGACTGATTTTACAGGACTTATGGATAGTAGCTGATATGCGATTAGTTAGCGCTTTGGACTACCCGTTACGCCATTTTGACAGCACGAATTAAAAACTAGCCTATAATATGCCCGTCAATGTAATCTACTCTTCAGTAAAAGTCCGTTCGACGGCCCAGCCGTTCCGGAGATTCGAAACAAACGCGGCTTACGGACAGACAGACAGACAAAAATCTATTAAATGCGATTATCGTTGGCAGCAAAGCAAATACACACTGTTTAGTCAAATTAATATTGACCTGCAGAACCATTACAAATATTGAGAGTAAATAAATGTTTATTACTACTACAGCTGTACGTAATGGAATTGGATTTCGCTATTATTTCTGTCATCGCTAAATTATCTACACTATAATCAATGCTAGAATTGTCATCTAAATTGGTTAATAAGAAAACTATAATTTTAGTTCAGTTTGATAATTATTTAAACCGAACATCGATAATTTATAATTGTTCTCTGCGTGTTTATTTCGTCACTACGATACCTGTCTATTAAGCAATGTTAGTTCAATACTTCATATGCAACATTTATCAAACTAATCCATCTTATTTAGACAAACTATATATGTATATATAACTAGATAGAAGATTCTACCCGGACAATATAACAGCTAGTTTTAAAAAATTACCACATTAAACGCAGCCGGGTTATTAACACTTGTTAATGATATATCTTCAAACCCGCAACAAATTTCATATGCTCCCGAACAACCTCCTTTATCACTGAAACAAAAGTACACGGAAAGAAAATCAGGAAGGTATAGTCGATTACAGCTTACAGACCTACAAGGATATTATGGCAGTTTCAGGGGCTGCTAGTTTTTAGTGTTACCGCTAAGCAAAAAATTCCCAATTTCTTTCTAAAGTCTTCTATGTTGAAAAATAAAAGGTAATATCTTTCGAAATCGAATTTTAAAATTATAAAAATATAATCATTCATCCGTGCAATGGCTCCCTTATTCGTCAAAATATGACGCTTTCAAGAATACATTGCTAAGAAAAATTATACTTGGACAAGTAATTAAAAGCGCTCACACACCTTTGACTAAACTATCGCACGACTATTCTGCGATTGTCAATTGTTTCGCAGCCAATAGGCAATATGGACATGACGCCAAATTGTACCAAACTTTTTTTAATTATACTTTAGTACTATAAAAACAGTCCTGCAAAGATTTTTTAAATATAATGTGATTATAATATAATGTATGCTGTGTTGACAATACACAGTTCATTTACGTTAGTTTATATAGAAATACACTCTTGTAGTATTTTACTGTAAACACGATATCAAAACCAACTTTAAAATAAAGAATTAATGAATAGAATTATTTTTACCACTTATTTGTACCAGGAATAACAAAAATGAATCGGTTTTTGACTTTTTGACCTTGAGAAACTTTGTTGGGTTTTACATCGAAGTGACATCTGAGCGCATGTTATGAATGGAATAGACGATTGACGTCAATTGTCTCATGACAACTCCGGTCGTGTTTTAGTCGCTCGAAAATGGTCGTAATTTTATTTTATTATTTTTAGCTCAATGGTTGAATATTTTCGCGTCATTTTTTTGTGGTTATTTCAAAACAAGTAGAATCGTTTAAAAAAAGAAAAAAACACATGCATATTCCCTATTCAACTGTTTCGTTGCAGAATCGAGTGCGCACCTTCATATAAGCTCCTAGGAATGCGCGAATAAATTAGTGCGATAGTTTAGTAAAACGTGTGCGTGTTCTAACAACCTTACTATCTACTAGCTTTAACACGCGACTTCGCCTGAGTTACGTTAAAAAATAATTAAAACCATAACCTATATTACTCACAGATAAATTACCTTTTTAATGGTGAAAGTTTTTACGTGAATCGTATACATACAAAAGTCCCAAAATACAAATCTTTCCTCTTTATAATAGTATAAATGTAGTTAGATTTATTAGATATCACTCATAGATACTGGTCAAGCAATAAGTAATAAATATCATACTGGCCGCCAAGAAAGCCATAGAAAATATTTTTGTAATTAAGGAACCTAATTCGAAAGTAGTGAAAAATGTGACGTGAGCGATGTAACAACATTTTATTTGTATTAAATGCCTTTTATCAATTTATGTGAATAGTTTGTGTATTTTATCATTAAATAAAGAAGAATTTATCAATGGTACTAGTTTACATTTATTCAGATACAGATTTCAAACATGTTTTTTTACAGGGGAAGCGGTCCGGTATTACCCAATGGTATTAACTTAAAAAATATAATAAAGACATATTTTAACACTTTGACCGCCGCTTATAATGTTCTTCGACATTATAATGCCCTACACTATGTAAAAGACAAAGAAAAGTTTTTTTTGTACCTTCCTCTAAGGGGCGAGAGTCTTTTGCTGCAACCTGATGGTATGGTACAAGATCCATCTTTACCATCAGCTGTCTGGCATAGGGATGTCTCTATCACGGGAGCTGAAATTATACAAATAATGGTAGAGCCGGGAATCTTATATTTTGCAGATTTCCAACCGTAGCTCCGCTGTGTCCCCTCATGGAGACAGGTGAGAATAAAGAGTTTCATCCGTCCTACCTTTTGTGAATCGAGGACGGTTGGATCTTATTTTATTTCTTAACGGTTATCTGTCACCTTACTGGTGATAGTAGGACTAAAAAGTGGGACGGATGAAACTTTTATTCTCATCTGTCCCCACGCGGGGACATAGCGTCAATAATCCTATATAACGACCGCACAGTAAACAAGTAGAAGCTATTTTGCGTTTCAGCCTATGAATGTACTAGATGCCTAATTTTTTTATCCTTCGCATCCTAATTACAAGGAAACGATAAGATCTTGGAAGGTGAGGGGAACAAGCAGGGGAAATACATTAGCACCTGTGCAATAATATGCATCTATTCCCATGCAGCTTCGTGAAATTCTCAATTGTAAATGCACAAATGACAACGAAGGCTTTTCACATTGGATAACAATTACCGTTACTATGGCAACCTTGCTTTTACGTTGTCAGCTTGACTTTGTCCCTTTCCCGCTTGGTGGTTTTATCCAATTTATTTACTCCCTGAGTTTAATAGCGTGAATATATATATCCTAAAGCGTGTAGTAAGTGTAGTTCTTTTTATTAAAGAAAGAATCATTTAAAAATATACTGTGTTTGCTGACATCCTACGCCTAATAGTGTGTGTTTACACTTTATTATATTAGTATAGACAGATAACTGTTTTCAGGATACCTTCGGTTTTTTCCAATTCGACTGCGGGTGTGGTTACAATAATTCCAGATATGTTATCTGGTGACGCCTTCCCGAATATCTCTTCGAGTAATTTCGCTAGATCTTGGTCCGAATCTGTCAAAGTAAACACCAAATCAATTAAACAGAACTATCTCAAAACTGTTTAGTCTTTGATTCCTATAAGCATATATGGAGGTTACACTACTCGATTTGTAGTTGTGCAACTAAACAGTTGAAGGCTGCGAAACAATAGACAATCGCACAACAGATGTGCGATAGTTTAGTCAACAGGCAAGTTAGCAGTAGTTGATATTTTAATTTAATATAATTAACAGTGGTAGTGCCCGCTTTAACATCTTCGCACGAATGGGCCGACTCGCCCACAGTAATAGATCACACAGAAAACAGGCCTGAAGTGGAAGCAATTCCGCGTTTCATCTGATGAGTGTGGTGCCGGAGGCCTAATATTAGTCCCTTTCCGTTTCCACCCTTTTCTTTTATTTTTATAATTAATTTGACGGTGGAGACGCATAGGAAGGGGAAATATCCACTTTATGTGCGTCTCCTCCTCCGTCAATCAAGGGTAGGCAAGGCATCCGAAATAGCAAATGTTTATGGGCAGCGGTTGCTTGCCATTTCGGTGGATTAAGGCCGCTTGCTCGTTTGCCACCTTATGTTATAAAAAAAAATTAATTTATTTAATAAGAGAAAGAAAGTATGGAAAATACGTTGATCATTTTTGTTGATGGTCGCTTTGTATAAAGGAGGATAAGTAACCTATTCAACTTTCTGAATATAACCTATTCAGATCTAATTGTTTAAGACGTATAAAAAAGTATAGGGTATTTCCGCGGTATTCTAGTTAGTGAAATATTGTCTTATTTCTTACAATTACTGGAATAATGGTTTTGAGAACTGAAAAGTAGTTGAGATGGATGTTTGTTAGAGTTTGTAGCCTAAACTGAAGAATGGATAGTCTGGAACAACATATAAGCTACTTACTTTTTTTAATTCCCCCGCGGACTGAGTCGTGGGCGAAAGATATTGAAATTTGAGATAGTACATAACGAGAGTAATAAGTGATTAAGGAGTTAATTACATTTTATTGAGATTTACCTTTGATTTGTGCTTGACAAAAACCAAGCAAGAAGAGAAGAAACACGGCTCTCGCCATCTGTGGAAAACAACATTTTTTTTGTAGAATATCTATACTTATACTTATCTATATTATAATAGTTTATGTCAATACGCCATATGTTGACTTGTAAACAATCTATACTATTATAATAAAGCGTAAACACACACTTCTTTGTTGCCTAAGATGTCAGCAATTACAACATATTTTTGAATATTTCTTTTTTTAATAAAAAGCCCTACACTTGCGTAACGCTTCAGGCTATATATTTTAACGCCATTAAACTTGGAGGGTAAATATTTCGGATAAAAACCTTGATGTGAAAAAGAGATCATAAGTTGCTGCCTACATCAAGGAAGCAAAGTTATCATCGTGTCATGTCATTTTGACATTTGTAATTGATACTTTGACAAACAGTAAAATAAAGTTTTTATAATTTTAAGCGGGTGAACGCACAGGAACAGCTAGTTTTAAATAAAATAATTAATTTTGTAACTAGTAACAGTTACTAAAACTACTTTCCCGAGCATATGCGTTTTGCTAATGTTTTTAGGTACAGAAACATTTTAAATCGTGTCCAAACCTTTGACTAACTTCACACAACTGTTATGCGATTGTCAATTGTTTCACAGCCTTCAACTGTTTAGTTGCACAACTTAAAATCGAGTGTGAGATCCAACATATAAGCTCATCGAAATCAAAGCGAGGCTAAACAATTGTGCGTTAGTTTACTCGTGTGCGTGTTCGTAAATATATAATCCCGAAACACCAGAAACTGACCGCAAAGTTTATCAAACACCAAAAAACCCAACTGAATATACGACGCAGGGGAAAAAGGATGACTCAAAATTAACCGTACTCGTTGAAATCAGTTCACTTGTTTAGGCAATAGACGATTGTGATGAAACTAGCTGTTCCCGTGCGGCATCATCCGCATGAAATTACGAAAATTTTATTTTATTGTTAACATTTGCCAAATAATCAATAGCAAATGTCAAAATTACAAACCTTAACAATCCTTCTTTCTTGATGTTGGCAGCAACTTATAATTTCTTTCCCACATTAGGGTTTTTATCCAATTTATTTACCCCCTAAGTTTAAAAGCGTCAAAATATATAGCCTAAAGCGTGACGTAAGTGTAGGGCTTTTTATTAAAAATAGAATTATTCAAAAATATGCTGTAATTGCTGACATCTTAGGCAACAAAGAAGTGTGTGTTTACGATTTATTATAATAGCATCGATAGTATAGATTGACATAAAAAAACTACAATTAATACAATTAATGTACATATTCGCGAATAATATAACCCACTTAGTGGGATGTTTAAACACACTAAGGGCCTGTCCCACCATTGTCTGATAGAGGTTCAGATAGCTTAAAAATGACGTCACTGTTAGATAAGGTAACAAAATCCGATATTTTCACATATTTTACACGTTGGATTACTATTAGATAATTTACAATTTAGTGGGACAGAGCCTAAGAGCGCGCGCACACTTTTTACTAAACTATCACAACTGTCTAGAGCCTGTCCCACTGTCCCACAACAGTCTGATAGAGGCTCAGAAATAATAAAAATGATGTCATCATCAGACAAGGGAACTAAAATCCGATATTTCCATCACATATTTACACGTTGTATTGTTATCAGACAATTTACAATTTGATGGGACAGGGCCTTAGGCTCGCATAGATTTCTATAAGCTTACATGGAGGTGTACACTACTCGATGTTTACACAACTAAACAGTTGAATGGGCTGCAAAACAATCGACAATCGCACAACAGTTGTGTGACGGTTTATTCAAAGAATTGCGCCCGCTCTTTGACTATAAAAGCTATTTTCAAATAACATTAGACTTCAAAAGAAACCGATAAAGGAAAAAGAATAGAATATCAACTGTGCAAAGTTTCTAATTGTCTAAACACAGCAAGTATAAGTATTAGGTAGCCGCCCGCTACACACCTTTAGTTTTAATTTCAATTTAAATGAACAGCCGACTCTAAATCTGAGCGTCTATAGCAGGCTTAACATGAGTAAGATGATATACTAAAAACCTTTTTAATAAAAAAAATAGGATATGGCATCCTGATAATCCGGGAATTATAAAACAAATGACATCCCATTTGTCAAAATCGATTCAATAGTTTATCTATACTGAGACAACTCAAAAACTACTGGGCAGATTTCAGAAATTCATTCACCATTAAAAAGCTACGTTATCAGTGAGTATTATAGGCTATATTTTTATAATACCACACGGGCGTAGTTACGAGCAACAGCTACTGTATACCTATGTTATAAAGAGAAAAAAAATGTATATTTTGTATTGAAATAACTCAAAAACTACTGGAGCGATTTTAATAATTCTTTCACCATTCGAAAGGTCTATCTATGAGTAACATAGGCTATTTTTATTACACGCGGACGAAGTCGCAAGCAACAGCTAGTATAATAAGAGGCAATAGAATTAATATAACTTACTTTCCTAAGCCAGTCGAGTAAAAACAATAAATATCATATGGCCAGAAGTACATATACAAGTAACTGGCACGCTAGTGACTGTAATTTATATATACGCTAACTTGAAATCCAGTAGCTAGGCATCCAAGGAGCTAGCTTTGATTTTGTGACAGCTATATGCAAGTAAAAATAAAAAACTGAACTTTTAATAATTGAAACTGACTTGTATCATCTCGTAAACATTTTAACTGGCATGTGTGAACTTTGCTAATAGCTGGCATACCAGTTAGCTTATATTTTGCATGTATTTCCTTATGTCGATTTGCAAAATACATAAAAAACAATAACATTAAAATAAAACAACATAATTTACCTCAATTTCCTATAGAATACAATCACTATTCACAAAACTATATGTTAAAGTAATAATTTTAATTATTTCAACACATTATTATAGTTATTAGGAAAACACTAAACAAAACAACGTCTCCGACGACATCAATATTGTGAATGATTAAATATTTGCCGTAGTGATGTACAGATGCGATCTGCTCACTGATTCGTAAAAACCGGTTATAACATTTTTATATCTTACGGAAAAGAACAAGCGTCAAGGGGCTCATTTCGTGCAGTTTAACAGCTGCACAGACGATGCTTGGTTAAATCTTGATGATAACCAAAAGAAAAAAAAGACATTTTACCTTCCCATCTTTACAAGAAAAAGGTCAGAAAGACAATTCGAACTTGAGCGGGACTGCGGGTCTTATCTTATTTTTTTACGCCCTTGTAGGGACTACCTTTGAATGACTCTACTGTTATATTATATTAATGAGGCGACCAGATTATTCTATCAACTACCCACATAATTTTTAATAATAAAACTACTCACCGTTCTTACCCTACTACCTTTGAGAGTTCGTCCTCCAAGATATTCTCTTCCTTATCACTCCGTTCTTGGCCATGTCATCTATAATACGCAATCCATCTCTTTCTAAGCTTATCTCTACCCGTGTAAATTTTTATTTGAATACAGTGGGTAATACCAAAGTGTTTACCCTTAATATATCGAATGTGCATTTTTTTATCTATGTCTATACTAATATTATGAAGAGGAAAACTTTGTATTTTTGTATTTTTGTATTTTTGTATGTATTGAAATAACTCAAAAACCACTAGACCGATTTTAAAAATTCTTTCACCATCAGAAAGGTAATTTATCTGTGAGTAACATAGGCTATATTTTGTTATTACTAATGTTTAGGAACTATTAATAAAAAGCGTGTTTCTGGACGCCGGCGTTAAAAATCACTAAACTTTAACTTTTCTTGGCTTACGCTGCCTAAACCGTTAGAGATATATAAAAATGATGTATGAAAGAATTGTAGATCTCAAAAAGTTCTCCAGAAAAAACCGCGATATCATATATTTAACAGTTTTCTTACAATAACCACTTTTTAGTTTACAAAATGAAATAAAAACCGCACCCTATTTGCGGCGTTCTTTTATTGGTTTCAATATTAATTCTTATTTAAATAAAAGCGTTTGTTATCAGGACAATTTAATGTAGAATAAAATTGTCCTTTACAGTATTTAAATTGGACTAATCATTTAGAAGATATCGCGAATACAAATAATAAGGGTAACCAAAAAATCAGCTTACAAGCTACCGGGATTAGAAATTTGGCATCTTGCATCGGTAGATTTCTCTTATTACGTAGATTACTGGTTACTAAGTTAATACTTTTGGTAATAGGTTGAAAAAAAGGGCGAACGTAAGTTTTGAACTTCCAAATTTCACTCGGACGAAGTCGCAGACAAAAGCTAGTACAAAAATAAGATTAACTAAGCACTAACAATTACAGTTGCAATTTTATCTTAATTTTTGGAAATTTGTATCCGGGCAGTTATATTGTAAAAAAGAGTTTTAATTTTTTATTTCATTCTAGTTAATAACAAAAGAGTTTGATCGTTCTGTTCTCACGTAAACACATCACTATGAATAAATTTCTGCTTAAGGTCTTACACATAGTGGGATTTTGCTAAGGTTATCAGTCACGAATATAAATATAAGATATATAGTTAATAGAATTATTATACTACTAGCTGTTGCTCGCGACTTCGCCCGCGTGAAATTACAAAAATAACCTATTACGTTCTCCCTTTTTTGACCGACTTCCCAAAAGAAGGAGGTACTCAATTCGTCGATATATTTTTTTTATGTGTGTTACGGCATAACTCCGCTGCTAGAGGACCGATTTTGATAATTCATTTTTTATCCAAAAGGTAATGCTTGCAGGTGGGTCCCATTTTTTTGTTTGATTTTTGGAGTTAAAGACTACGACGTAGTTAAATAGTTTAGCTTAAAATCGCGCGACGAAATTTAGGGTCATTTTTGCTTTCTTTGCTTACGTAGCCTAAACTATAAGACTTACATAAAAATAATGCGTGGAAGAATTGTAGCCCATTAAATTTGCTAAATAAAAGTCCGCGATAGCATATATCTATCTATTAAGGTTGTCGCACAATAACCACTTTT